CGCGGCGACTCATCACCTGAATTCCGTGTCTCCGGCTTTAGAGCACCCCGGCGCTCCCTCCCCCGGAGAGGGAGCTGGCGCCCGAGCGACCGCCGCTCCTGAACGTAGCCGCATAAGCTTGGTTGACCAGACGTGTTACTGATATTAGCGATACTAGTCGATCCAAAGCTTGGCACCCAAGTACGCCGCCACCCCCTACGTTATCGGCGAGATTCCGGACCGTCCGTCCCATCATCCGGAATTTCGTCGCAATATACATTTTAATTATATGTATTCAGGTAGTTATTGAATTTTGTTTTTACTTCCCGAGCGTAAGCAAAGGAAGTATTGTAATCGAGTCCGTCGGCCGACTCTCTACTTTTACGTTTTCTCGATCTTTCATGACCCCTAGAAGACGAAGAAATAGGTCTCCCATTTCCGTCTGTCTGTCCGTCTGTCCGTCTGTCCGTCCGTCTGTCCGTCTGTCCGTCTGTCCGTCCGTCTGTCCGTCTGTCCGTCTGTCCGTCCGTCTGTCCGTCTGTTGTCCCGGATTTTTATTAGACAGATAATCTCCGAAAGTACTCGACCGATTGTTGTGAAATTTTGTACTTATATTAAGAATATCATGTAGATGGTAAAACGCTAACCAAAATTTGTCTAATCATCCCCACCACTAAAGCGATGACGTCACTTCAAAATTGTACATAGTAAATGGGTTTTCAATTGTATAAAATAACATAGTCCTACACATGTAGTTTACAACTCTGAATCGACTTTTCACCCGAAACGTCCAGATTTTTGGAAAAAAAATCAAAATTATAAAACAACATTTTGAAATTTAATTTTTAATCTGCTAACCAGAATGCTTTGAAATGTTGCAGATGTTTTAAGGCTATAAAGAGCATCATAAATCTTTAGTCAAAAAATATTTGCTTATCCCCTCCAAAAACTTGATGACGTCAGCTCAAAAGTTTGTGGAATAAATCATATCTAAAATGTACAAAATATGATGAGTCTGTACTTGTGATCTATCACTCCATTCATATTTTTTGGATTTGCATATACAGGGTGACTCAAAAAAATTAATGAATGCGTAAATATATTTTATTGATTTAATCAGGAACTACAAAACCGAATGCTCTGAAATCTTGCAGATGTTTTAAGGTCATAAAGAGCATAATAAATGTTTAGTCAAAATATATTTGTTTATCCCCTCCAAAAACTTGATGACGTCAGCTCGAAAGTTTGCCGAATAAATCATATCTAAAATGTACAAAATATGATGAGCCTGTACTTGTCATTTATCACTCCATTCATATTTTTTGGATTTGCATATACAGAGTGACTCAAAAAAATTAATGAATGCGCAAATATATTTTATTGATTTAATCAGGAACTACAAAACGGAATGCTCTGACATCTTGCAGATGTTTTAAGGTTATAAAGAGCATAATAAATGTTTAGTCAAAATATATTTGCTTATCCCCTCCAAAAACTTGATGACGCAGCTCGAAAGTTTGCCGAATAAATCATATCTAAAATGTACAAAATATGATGAGCCTGTACTTGTCATTTATCACTCCATTCATATTTTTTGGATTTGCATATACAGAGTGACTCAAAAAAATTAATGAATGCGTAAATATATTTTATTGATTTAATCAGGAACTACAAAACGGAATGCTCTGACATCTTGCAGATGTTTTAAGGTTATAAAGAGCATAATAAATGTTTAGTCAAAATATATTTGCTTATCCCCTCCAAAAACTTGATGACGTCAGCTCGAAAATTTGCCGAATAAATCATATCTAAAATGCACAAAATATGATCAGTCTGTACTTGTGATCTATCACTCCGTTCATATTTTTTGGATTTGCATATACAGGGTGATTCAAGAAAATAAATGAAAGCGTAAATTTATTTTACTGATTTACTCAGGAACTACAAAACCGAATGCTTCGAAATCTTGAAGATATTTTAAAATTATCATAAGCATGGTAAATTTTTGATCAAAACGTATTTGGTCGTCGCCACTAAAAAATTTATGACGTCACCACAAAATTTTGCTGAATAAATCCTATCTAAAATGTACAAAATATGGTGAGTCTCTTCTTGTAATTTGTCATTCCATTCAAATTTTTTCGATTTGCATAAACAGGGTGACTCAAAAAAATTAATGAATGCGTAAATTTATTTTATTGATTTAATCAGGAACTACAAAACCGAATGCTTTGAAATCTTGCAGATGTTTTAAGGTTGTAAAGAGCATAATAAATTTTTAGTCAAAATATATTTGGTTATCTTCTACAAAAAACTGATGACGTCAGCTCAAAAGTTTGCCGAATAAATCGTATCTAAAATGTACAAAATATGATGAGTCTGTACTTGTGATTTATCATTCCATTCATATTTTTGGATTTGCATATGCAGGGTGACTCAAAAAAATTAATGAATGCGTGAATTTATTTTATCGATTTAATCTGGAATTACAAAACCCAATGCTTTGAAATCTTGGGAATATTCTAAAGTTATTATAAGCATGGTAAACTTTTGTTCAAAATGTATTTGTTCATCCCTCCTAAAAAAATTGATGACGTCACCCTTAAATTTTGCTGAATAAATCCTATCTAAAATGCAAAAAATATGATGAGTTTGTACTTGTGATTTATCATTCCATTCATATTTTTTAGATTTTCTTAAGAGGTGGTTCAAAAAAATTAATGAAGTCAATTTATTTTATTGATTAAATTAAAGGCAACACTTATTAATAGTATTACACCCCAACCAACCCAATTTGGTAGACAAAAAAATTTGTTAAAGGAAAAACTCGGTTGAAACATAAGGGTAGCATGCTTATTTACATCGACTTTAACATTACAGACCTGCATTTGTTTTATGCGTTCACTTGGTTCCGCAAATGTGAAATAGACATGTTTATAATCAACCAATTGTGAATTTCACCGTCAAGAATTAAAATAAAACCCAATGTTTTATATAATAAGCGGAAGTCGAAGCAATAAAACCGATGGTCGTTTTGTTTACAGTTTCTCTGTTTGACTCTCAAGTATGCTGTTACACCTGTCATCTTAAATTAAGAATGTTTATACATACACGATTTTCAGCTGCCTGGGATACGTATACGTGAGTAAATTGTTTCGTTATTTTATTGATTATTACAAATCAATATTCAAAACGACCCAATTCATTTTCCCGAAAATTTGAGAATATAATAACTTTATTCTTAGTATTACACTACATCTATCCCAAACTGATATACGTGTCCTTGCAAAAATGTTGATGACGTCATCGCAATTTTTTTTTAAATTCCCACTACAAAAATGTAATGAGAAAAAACACAATAGGCATGCAGTCGTCAAGTTTCCGACAGCGAGGGAAGTACTGTCTAAACTCTTTAGACCAATTTTTTTAATTCAGTGTTTCAGGTAGAATGACTTTAATAAAACGTAAGCCCTAATTGCAGTCTACTCATATTTTACTCACTCTACTCGTATTTTTAAATAATTTTTATTTCGCTGTTCATTAGGGGCCCCACAGTGTTGTAGAACACAGGCCCGTAGATCGATTGTTAGGCCACTGGTGAATTTTTATAAAAATTGATGTTAATTTAAGCCAGTTAACTTCATACCCACCATAAATTGTAATACGAAAACCGGGCAAGTGGAAGACCAGTAACCCGAGCGGTTCTTAGCTACCCTTCTTCCGGTTGAACAATAGCGGCGCATGCCAAGGCGGTGGGACACTCAGTAAGTGAAAAGCTTAGCCAACTCCTCGTAATGACATTGTAAAATTTTATTATATACAACAGAAACGTTTCTACTATACATAGAGATGTGGGTAGTTGCCTACATTACCGAAATGTTTTTTTTTTAAGTAATTTCGTAATGTAAGGGTTTCTATAAATGATTATAAGGTCGTAGTAGGTCACGTAAACGTGCCGCCTCTCAAGTTTAACTCTAAACACAAAGTGCCCAAGGACGCATGACAAAGACCACACACATCTGTATAACTGGTTGCCTAAATGCTTCATATCTTTTTAAAAAATAAAACTAATTCATTACAATAAAAAGAAACAAATTTATTGCGGTTAAACATCACGATAAATGTTTTGTTCATCATTTTGTTCAAGAGACATGTTCACTCTCTTTTTAATTTCAAAAATATTCTGTAACATCCTTTCGTCAAAACTTTTATCTTTGTTGATACTGCCAGTTTGAACAAATCTGTTGATTACATCTCTAATGTGAGCCTCTAACGGTTTTTCTTGAATTATTGAATCAGGGTATTTAGCCAGATATTCTTGCTTACAAGCGGTTACAGGATACACACACTTTTCGTTCACGAGGTCCCATTGCGATAACAAGACATAACGATGAAAGTGTCTTGTTCAACAGAATAAACCATTTTCATAGCCTTCGCTTCCTAGCACAAAAACACGATTTTCGTACGCAACCACCAAGAGTTTTGAAAACGATTGTTTTGTTGTTCTGAGCTTGGATCAACGAGAATTACTGTAATTCGCACTTGAAAAACGTCAAAACAATAAAAACGACGACTTTAATTGACAGGTTACAAATGACATTAGACATCAATGTGACAAGTGAGAACTATCAGAAATATCACGGGCGTAATTTCAGCGAAGCGGGATTTTTGACATCCATGGCCAACTATGCCCTTAGAATCATTTATAAAAGCCCTGTATTTTTTTATCTCTTGCCATGAAACTTAATTTTGAATCGGAACACCATAAATGATATTGTGACGAATGGGATGCTAGGTTACAGATTTTAGCATCTGTGACAATATTAATAAAAATTTTGATGAAAATCAACTTACTCAAATTGAAATAATTACCTCCGCGAACGTGGCAGTAATGAACCGCACATGAATCGAAGCAACCAATGAAAAAGAAGAATTTTTATCGAGAAAACATGTGATTACTTAATTATAATCAGTGGGAAGTGCACCAGCTGCTTCAAAACAATTTGACGTATATTTTTAATTTATTATTATTACCGCGTGTGAGTATACGTTTACAATTTGCAGAGCAAGCCCACCCACAAAAGTGTGACAAAACATTGCCGAAATAGCAACAATAGTTTCAGTTTTAGAAAACATTTTATTGATAGCCTGATATATTGCGCGCACACCTGCGCATACTGTTACGAAACGACTTGCTTATAAAATGCCTTACTGATTATTCAATTAGTGATAGTATACATAATAACCAGCATCGCCGAAAATAACTGAAGTTGATAGCACCAGAATGAAATTCCATAAAATCTGCGGTTCATAGTGAAACGATTGTGAGTACCGAGACAAAAGTAAACCGAGTTTTAAATTTGGCAGATGCATTGCGTGTGTACAGTTTTGTGTTCTTCCACACCACGTTCTACGATCATGCGTGGTGTAATACTATCAAAGCCATGTCGAAATGCCGAGGCGAAGGGATCGAAACGTTGCATGGCCGTGGGCCAAGTCTACAGCCAAGTCCACTGTGTGCCGTACGATTTGTCGGTTCAATGCCAATGCAGTGAGTGAACATAGTGCATACGTATTTGCTTTACAATATGTGTTTGTTGTTTAGTCTGTGTTAATGATGGCGATTAGATAATGATATGGTGATGTGGGCAAAAAATAAACAATACAGAAAACAACTGTGAATCAAATAAAGATAGAAAATTATTCAGATCCAAGAATACTCACTATTTACATAACGTAATGTTCCTAAGCAAGGTTTTTAAAATATGTTCAGAATTACAATCATGTCGTTCCCATATATCTAACTATAATGGGATAAATTTAAGAAATACTCAAAGACGTCACTCAACACAACGACTGGAGGAGGCATACAAAAAAATAAAAGCAAAGTGCCAGTGTAAGTATGGGTACCAAGTAATTGACCCATTTTCACCAACAGAAAACCTATTGTCATACTCAAACTATGATGATCGGTAAAACCTCAGTGAAAATGGAAAAATATTTCTTTTTTTTACTTTATATGTAGATGAAACTTACAATCTTTTATATCATTCCTGGAAGTTAAATTTGGTGCGACTTAAAATTTGGTAAAATGTTGGATCGGGTTAATCAGAAAAGGATAATAAATGAAATCATAATTTACCAGTCTAAAAAAATGAGGCTTCATTATTTTTCGCTAAATTAACGCAAACTCGTGGTTGTTGGTGCTTAGTTACAAATTACGGAAAAAAATCTTTAGGGAATGAACCCCGAAAAATACTTCAAAAAAATATCTTTTTACAAAAGTAAATAAGACCTATCAATAATAATAAGAGTGAGTAGAATAAAAAATTTATAGCGTAATAAAATTTCTAGTAAATTCAAAGATCGATTTTTAATTATTGTGTTTTCTCTTGAATATTTCAATGTAATGAAGCCATGCATATACAGAATTCATTCTTCGTTATTTATAAACCAAATTCCGTAATGATAGATTCATAAATTTAAAAAACTGCTCTAGGGTGTGCCAGGGAACACGCAAAGTGCAAAGGGGCCAGTTTGCAATAATACAGACAATATAAAATCTACTTGAAGCAAATAACTAACGAGAAAACATTATCAATGCATGCTTAACTTCGACTGTTTATGTTTATGCATTAAAAGAGTTCGCGGGTGCAGAGAGGCTAAACCTGTTTCCAATGAATTTTCCCATTGGAAAATGTTCCGAGCAACATTTCATCAAAGACACGTATGTCAATTCACTACTGTATTCTCAAGCTGTTGAGAAAATTGGGTGTACCGTTAGACACGTCGTCGTGAATCGAACCCGAGACCCCTCATTTTACGCATGACGCAAAACGTTTCCCTACAGGTCCATTAATTTAATCACTTGACGAAAGTCTCGAGCACAGGTCTAGAGTAAATGTCCGAGAGGCGCCGTCACCTGGTGGTGAATTACTGAAAATATTAAGAAATGTGGAACTGCTCTACAGATCTCTCTATTTCGTACTGTCCGGAAATAAAGCTGGATTTCTATAAACTCATTCGCAGCAGCAGCGGTTGCTGTTCACGCAGTCGCAACAAGTTGAAACATTGGAATTGCCTACTATGATTCATAAACTTCCGCAACAGCACCGGTTGCAGTTAATGAATGACTAGCTTTTCGCTCGCGTAGACGATTCGTTGTGTTGAAGAGCATTATTCCATTATTGCTAAGTTGATTCCCTCAAGAAATGAATAACCTTATCGCAAAAGTTTATGTAACACCTATAATAATAATAGATTTATTTTCCTAGAGGCCAACATTCTGTATTCATTCGTAAAAACAAAAAGTTATATATGTATATATACCATAATTCCTATCCATATAATTATTTATAAGCCAGACCTAATACTTATAAATCAGAATAATGCTGACAATTTAATTATTAAAATACTTAATATATAACTGAAAATTTATTTTTAACTTTATCAATTTTACCAACTCTAGACACATTATCAAAGAAAATATCACTTCCATCACCATACCTAATGAAGTTGGTACTCATTATCTAATTGAATCAATGTTATGTACGAAGGACTTCTTTTTACAATGTTTGTGCGTGATGTCCTTGAATAGAATGAGTGACTTACGAAGGATAATTTTTCGTCAAATATGACTTAGATTTTGTTCCATGGTCTTTCGGTTAAGATTATTTTTGTCAATTGTATAATAAAAAAATTGGTCTAAAGAGTTTAGACAGTACTTCCCTCGCTGTCGGAAACGTGACGACTGCATGCCTATTATGTTTTTTTTCGCAGTAGATTTCAAAGCATTCGGTTTTGTAGTTCCTGAGTAAACCAATAAAATACATTTACGCATTCATTAATTTTTTTGAGTCACACGGTATATGGAAATTCAAAAAATATGAATGGGATGATAAATTACAAGTACACACTCATCATATTTTGCACATTCTGGATGGGATTTATCCGGCAAAATTTTGAGCTGACGTCATCAGTTTTTTGGAGAAGATAATCAAACATATTTTGACTAAAAATTTATTATGCTCTTTATAACCTTAAAACATCTGCACGATTCCAAAACATTCGGTTCTGTAGTTCCTGATTAAATCAACAAAATACATTTACGCATTCATTTTTTTTTAGGTCTCCCTGTATATGCAATTCGAAAAAATATGAACAGAATGATAAATCACAACAAGAGACTCATCATATTTTCTACATTTTAGATAGGATTTATTCAGCAAAATTTTGTGGTGACGTCATAATTTTTTTAGGGGGACGACCAAATACATTTTGATCAAAAATTTACCATGCTTATGATAATGTTAAAACATCTTCAAGATTTCAAAGCATGGTAAATTGTTAATAAAAATATATCTGTTTGTTCCCCCAAAATGTGCAAAATATGATGAGTTCTCACTTGTGATTTATCATTGCATTCATATTTTTAGATTTGCTTCAACAGGTGGCTCAAAAAAACTAATGAATGAGTCAATTTATTTTATTGATTAAATCAGGAACGGCTCACTTCATTTTCCTACAAAATTTTGGGAATACAATGTAGTTATTTTTAGTATTACATTGCACCAATTCAAGTTGATATATGTGTCCTTGCAAAAATGTTGATGACGTCATCAGAAAATTGTGTAAAGAAAACTCAATTCGAAAATGTTGAATATGTTTCACTGCACTTTAGGTGCGGGGGAAGTTCTGTCGAAACAACTTTCGACCAATTTTTTTTTCCAAAGATCTGGGCGTTTCGGGTAAAAGCTCAACACGGAGTCATAAACTATATGTGTAGGACTGTGTTATTTTATACAATTTAAAATCCATTTACTATGTAGAATTTTGAAGTGACAACATCACATTATTAGTGGGGATGATTAGATAAATTTTGCTTTGCATTCTACTATCTACATATATTCCTGATATAAATACAAAAATTTGACAACAATCGATCCAGTACTTTCGGAGATTATCTGTCTAAGAAAAATCGGAACGGCAGAAAGACGGGAACCGGAGACCTATTTCTTCATACTCTAGGGGTCATGAAAGGTCGAGAAAACGTAAAAGTAGAGAGTCAGCCAATGGACTAGATTACAATACTTCTTTCGCTTACGCTCGGGAAATAAAAATGAAAACACTGAAGTTTTTGGCAGTGAGAATTATCTTTAATATGTGATACCAAAGTTAAGATTAATCATTAAATAATTATTATTATTGTTTTAGCGAAAAAACTGCCAAAAGATGTAAATCCAAAAGCCGTTTTTGCCTGTAACGAACTTGATTTAAAAGAGGTAAATGTGTATGGTTTTGACTATGATTACACTTTAGCGTGTTATAAGCCGTCTATGGATTATGTACTGTACAATTTAGGCAGACAAATACTAATTGAAAGGTTTAAAGCAAGTATATTAATTATGAAGTTGTTAATATGTTTTATTAATGGGTTTTTCGTAGTATCCTCTTGAAATATCACAGTTGGAGTACAAACCAGGATTTGCTGTCAGAGGATTGCACTATGACATAGGAAAGGGCGTTCTACTAAAACTGGATTCTTTTTTGCAAATCCAGTTCGGTTCTGTTTACAAGGGTCTGAAACCACTTTCTGTTGACGAAGTTCTTAAGCTTTATAAAAACCGGATAATACCAATTGCACATGTTGAAGGACATTCAAAAAATGCCTCGGTAAGTCTAACAACCTATATCGTTAATTCATTGCAAATAGTTACATGAATTATAGTTAATTTAACATTATTTCTTTATTATACATCCCGTATATGTATATTTGCAATATTCTACATATCATTAGGTACCGATTTTTATATCTATAAATTGTTCCACTAACTGACCGCTAATAATTTATAATTTTGTCGGGGAGTTTTATTACTGTTTTAATAAAGCGACAAAAGTTAATGCCCATGTTGATAAAACAACCTTTATGCAAACTTGTTGTAATTGATTTTTTAGGACTTCAACCAAGCAAAAATGGTACAGCTAGCAGATCTTTTTTCTGTCCCTGAAATGGGTTTGTTATGTAACGTAGCTGATTATTTCGAACGCAACCACATAGATTATCATCCCGAAATCTTGTTTAGAGACGTTAAGGTAATTTGACAATCTCATGATATACAGACCGATACTATTTTAATTATAGAGTTCCGTAAAAAGTTCTCATCCATTAATGCACAAGATAGTTTCGGAGAATGTTTCCGAATACATTGAATCTAACGAAAAGCTTCGCCCATTCTTTGACAGACTTAAGAATTCCAACAAAAAATTATTTTTAGTCACGAATAGTCCCTACAAATTTGTGTAAGTTGATCAAATTTGATAGCATTCTTACATGTATCTACTGTTGTCTTTAGCAACAAGGGTATGGAGATGTTGGTTGGAAAAGACTGGAAAGAATATTTTGATGTTCTTATCGTTCAGGCCAGGAAGCCCAGATTTTTCACGGATGTTTCAAGACCGATACGAGTTTACGATGAACAAAGTGGTAGTCATATTTGGGATCGAGTAACTAAACTAGAGAAAGGAGTTATTTACTATGAAGTAAATGTAAAAATGTGTCTGCATGCTTTTAACAGTAGTGTAAACAAATAATATTAATAATAATATTAATAATAATAATAATAAACTGGTTAGTTATTGGTTCCATGATCATAGAAACCGTTTGCTTTGTGTGTTTGTTTCAGGTCTGTTTAAACTGGAAATCATGGAATCAATGAAGAACATAGTTAAAATATGTACAATTTAATACGAAGTAAAGTGGAAAATACTAGTTATTATTTTGTAGGGAACCGTTAAACAATTGCAAGATTTAACAGGATGGCGTGGACATCAAGTGTTGTATTTTGGAGATCACCCATATAGCGATTTAGCAGACGTCACTTTGGAACATGGGTGGAGAACTGGCGCCATTATAAATGAGCTAACAGTAAGTAAAAATTTGGCTTTAGTTATTACTGTTACCGTACAATGAGACAATGTTCACAATTAACTTTTAGTATGCTTTCATTGTATTTTCTCTTATTAGTCTGAAACTTCATAATAATTAAAAGTTTTACAACGGTAAAGAAGTAAGTGGAGATAAATACCGCCAAAGCCGACCCAGAACAAATTCATAAATGATGATACTCTTACTAAAAGTCGTACTGTACGAGTGACGAAATTTAATTCAATAAAAAAATTCTGTGCTAATTTTTCTTATTTGTTTTAGCATGAGATTGCGACCTTGAATAATGTGGAATTTAAAAAGAACGCAAATTGGTTACAAATGTTAACTCAATTAATAGAAGACCATCAGGACTGTGAAGATCCAGACGAGCAAAAAGTTCTGCAAAAATGGATGGCAGAGAGAGATAAATTAAGAAACGATATAAAGGTAGTATTTAATCCACAGTTTGGCAGTGTATTTCGAACATATCACAATCCAACTTATTTCTCAAGAAGACTCTTTAGATTTGCTGACATTTATACATCAAATATCACAAATTTATTGAATTATTCCGTAAAGCATACTTTTTATCCTAGACGAGGTGTGATGCCTCATGAATACATTTCTTATTTTGTATAAGTTTCCCCTAAAAATCGGAATAACTTTTTTCATGCTAATTATTCTCGAACGCTTAATATCCAAACATGCTTTTCATAAGTAAAACATCCAATCAGTCTTTAAATACTCATAAATTTTAAATATAACTCAGAACTGTCTTAAAACTGATTCACAATATTGGTCAGACACAATTTTATAAGATTTTTTTATAAATATCAACTAAACATTAAATCTCAAATAATCTCGTCACTTATTGATATAAAATAGTTATTAATTACCGACTGTATTTTAAACACAAATCAGAATAAGCGTTTCAAGTCAAAACTTTCTGACATCAATTGATCAATTAATTCTTATCAGAAAACTGATTTGTGAAGTCGATTTTTAATTTAAGATCTGTCATGCCTTTGAAAAATAACTAATAAAGAAGTAGAGTAATCTCTGGAAAATAATGTAGTTGACACTTTGTTATATGTAGGTTCAGACTGATTATGATTAAGGTATTAGATATACTCCTGTTTTGTTATAAAATAACATGACAAAGTCCTCCGTTTACAAAATTTAAAAATATTGTTTTAAACAGGTGTATAATAGCAATCTCAAAAGCTGTTTTGCAAATGTAAGTATTTCTGCTCAAATCACCCGTTGATGTGGAATCGTAAATTATATCCAAAATTATAAGGACCAAGTTAAGTTTTAACTGTAAGGTGGTTTACTACATACTTATGTTATAAACATTATTTTCTTGATACATTACTTTATTCTCATTATTTATATACCCAAAAGTATTCAAAAAACTAAATATTCGAAACTCTAGAAAATCATATGGACTACATGTCCACAATGTAATACTTAGTGCGCGGAATTAAATCTTACTGCTGCAATCTCCCAGTTGAAGTAAGGTGTGTTTTACGGCGAGTAGTGGAGTTGACATGGTCCACAAGGACGTGCCGAGTGCGTCTCACTAGGAGTGTTTGCGGCTGATAAAAAAATATTTCTATATTACTTCAAATATATATAAATAGCAGCCAGTGGCAGCTCGTGAAGTTTTCTTCAGAGGAGGTTCAAATTTGAAAAGCACTATTTTTTATATTTCTTATTATCTGAATCTTTTTTTTTCGTTATGCCCACGAAAAAAACACTTTTGCGTTGATAAATTGCATCGATTAGTCTTTTCAAAATTGCCCTATTTTGCCAACTTTCTCGTTATAGTTCTCAATATCCCTCTTATGAGCCGAATCTAAAGTATTGGCAATGTTTTGCTTAGCAAACACTTCTAATTTAATCGAAGAAAATATGTGTTCCTGTTTTTTTTTTTCATGCCTTTCTATGGCTCCTGACAAATTTTGTAAATTATTACAGCCTGTTACCCCAAACGGAAGATTTATCACTTATAAATAATACACAATTCCAACAGTATAAGTTGTTTCTTAAAACCGAAGCCGTTAACTATTTAGTTTTATCATAATTATTTTCATGAAATGCTCTGTTTTGTTTCTAATTCTATCTGTCATTCATTACCATTAATGGAAGTGATGGTGTTGGTCTTCCTTTTTGTTTTATAGCTATCTTTTTATCATAATCAAAGCTACCAACTAAATTCATTTTTTAATAGATAGACTACGATATCTGCACAACAGACTGAATAATTTTCGTTGCTCATTCTCGGTAAGTATAAGTAATATTAATATACCGGTAACACAAATAAACGATACAAAAAACACCTTATAGTTCCTACACTACATCAGTACCTAGTAAAATTTTAACAACCGCTACTTTGAGGAATTGTTGCACAATGTAGGGGAAAATGACGCCAATAAAAGGTGCGTGCCGCCAGTTTGTAGTGGGCTAGAAACATCCAGGGTTGCATTGAATTTGTAACTTATGGTTTTGTGGGTCCAACCTTCATGGTTAACTTTGAAATACCAATAAAATTTTATTAGATACAGTTCAAATGATGGGACTGTACCTACGTAAAGCTTAAACACCACCACCACTGAACAGGGAGCACGCGAAACTACCTCAATGTTTTTCCTATTTACACCCGCGATTGCGCCAACTAATAAGAAAGAGATAAAATTATCCGTACGACTTGATTTGAAAAGAGATGAACTAGCCGGAGGCTAGCGGCTTGGAGCGGCAGTCGGATCAACGTTTTAGCCAATGCAGTACAGAATGACGATGCGTCAAGGTTACGGTCTTATTATTAAAATGCATCGTCGTCGGAGGCTAGCGGCTAGCTAGCCTCTGCCGCTTAAGCCAGACGCGGAGTGGTGTGAATTATGATTGTAAGGGGGCAAATATAAATCTTTTCTACATTTCAACCTGATATATGATGAAAGTAAATGAAATCAAACAAAATATTCTGAAAAAAACAAATGTCTACAAAAATACAAATTCTTTCATCGAAAAAAATTAGAGGAAGCTCAGCTACAAAAAATAGAGGAGGCTCAGCCTCCCCTGCCTTTGAAGAGCCGCTACTGCTCGGTGCCCTTTTTAATTTTTCAGATTTGTGATTTTGAAATGTTATATTATGTTGATATAGTCCAAAAGGAAAAAGCATTTGTAATCAAAGTATCGACGCGGCAGCACTGGATCGAGCGCGTGAGATTTTATTCCGCGCCTTGGTAATAATATATATATATATATCGTTCATTACCCTACAACAGCGCCGAAAATACGAAATTACAAAAACTGTCTCTGTTAGCCTTATCTAGACAATACTAATCTGTACTCAGGTCAGGTCAATTTTTATAATTTTGTATTTTTGGTGTTGGATAATAAACGTTATAGTGTATCGCGCACTAAGTAATCTAAGAAGATTCCACATGTGATACATTCAAAAGTAAAATAAAACTAATAATAACTAATATTACTTTCGCCTGATTACTTTAATAAGTTTTCTTTAAATACGCCCTTTTGTGTATAATCGCTTTAAGTTGCTAGTTTTACTAGACTGCGGAATCTACCTTCCCCTTCCAGAATTGAACCGTTATTCTGTGACGGCCATATAAATGCCTTATTTACAAACAATACAAAATGGACTCAAAAACTTGAACAAACTTATTAGTCAGTATATATTGTCAGTAAGATAATAGCAATTATAGTATTTTGTTAGAATTTTTAGTAGAAGTGTGCCATTTTACATGTGTGTTTCTAGGTAGTTGAATGAAGGAATAGTATTAAAAAAGTAAAATGTATTAAATTTTATTTCAATAAATAGTGTTTAGTATACCTATTTAATTTTTTGTCCAATTTTTCTACACCTATGACAGTAGATACACATATCTAATCATATTTCTATGTTGAGAATATAAACACTTTTGTTGTAGAAAGTTTACCCGATTGAAGTCTGTGGGGTCAATTCCAAGTTAGCCACTTGCGCCAACCCAACTCACTGCTGAAACGCAACTTTCTAGTACTGATTTGGATATCAAATGCTAGTTGCTAGGGGTAATGCAGTAAACAAACACACTTGTGTCGAATTTTCCGGTGCAGTTTGCAGCATTGAGTTGCGGGACCTCTAATAGGTAGCGCAAGTTATCTCGAAAAATCGGTTGTCTGGCAAGTTTTAGTGGGTGTTGCTGTTAATTTATTCAAAAACTCTAGTGAAAGTGAGTATGAAACGAAGAAAGATTACCAAATAGGCAAAGGTGTCGTCGTTGCACTCTCGTTGCATTAATGGAAATGTCGAACTTGGAAATGCCCCAACACTGTTGACGCAAATCGGTGACGCAAAGTGATAAGTTGCGTTGGCGCAAGTGGCCAACTTGAAATTATCTCCTGTAATACACATTCTCATTACTATTAGAAGTATCGAGCGAGCAATATAATTTGTAATCGAGTCATTTGTTGATTTTCATTTGTTTCGGAAAAGTCACGTCGATGATTGATCCACATAGTTCATAACTTCAAATAAATTAAATTGACAGATGGAAAGAAAAAAATGGCGTGAACTCAGAACTGAATTTAAATAATGAATGATTAACCATTTAAATGTTCAGATTTTTGATTTAGTAAAACTCATCTTCTTTGTTTTGAACGTATCCTGAAATGTGGGGGCGAATTCGGTGAATATAATTCCATAAAAACAGACCACAGTAAAGGAATCGACTTTTAAATCGATGATGGTTTGCTTTCACTTTAATGAGGTAAATCGACTTGTGCAAACACATTTTTCAGCCAAAAACAAACCAAAATTTTGAATTTTCATCATTTATTTTTTAATAAAAAAAAAGACACTTAAATTCACAATTAATTTCCATTAGAGCATTAAACACTACATTTAAAGTCCCTATTCACAATAAATGCTGCAAATGTTCCCCATTTTCTTGAAAACACAGCAAAACTCTTCTTCAGACTGCATCAATGACATTGTTCAATATAACCTCATTGTTGTTTATTTCGTTGATTTTTTCAGTTATTCTGTTCCTTAAATCTTCCAAATCATTAGCAGGAGTACAATACATTGTGTTCTTTAAATGCGGCCAGAGAAAAAATCAGCAGGTGTAAGATTACATGATCTTGGGGGCCAGATATGTTCAGTATTTCGACTAATAACTCTTTGGTCAAAAAACTCTCGTAATGGTTGGAAAAAACCAAAAGCTAATTCATCATCATGGAGTTCTCTTCTGAATGGCCCCAAAATTTCTTCCAGATATCAAATAGCAGTTAAATTGCCTAAAAAATGATAAGTTGAGGAAGAAAGTTAAAAAACTTTGGTTTTCATTTTCTTACCATTAAAAAAGAATGGGCCTATGATGCGTCTTTGGCTAATTGCAGCCCAAACACCAATTTTTTGTGCATGAAGTGGGGCCTCAACATAAAAAGGTGGTTTCTCTTGGCTCCACATTCGCATATTTTGGGAATTAACATAACCACTCAAGTGGAACCAAGCTTTATCCGTAAAAAATGTCTTCTCTAGCAGTTCATCATCAAATGTGTTCAAAAACCACTCACAGTATTCACGTCTGATTGGAAAATTCCCGTCATGTAATTCTTGCACACATTGTAATCGATAAGCAAATAATCCCAAGTCTTTTTCAATATTGTTCGGCAAGTGCACTACGCTTTAATGAATTGTAAAAATTAGCATAATCCACAATATTGTTTGAAAATTGCTCTCTAAATTCGGTCCACGTGTCAGGAATTAATATTGCCATTGTACGTCGATTTTTTGACCATTTCGAAAGTAAGACTCAATCATAAAAGTCTTATGTTCAAATGTAAAAGCCATTTTTCATCAAGTTCTTGAATTTGTTGAAAATTTAAGCCAAAAAACGGCCCAAAATGAACACAAGTTAGTTCTGAAAAGAACTGTTTTTTTAAAAGGATTTTCAGTACGAAACACAACAAAAGCAAAAAATCGTTCGTTACGGCCCTTCAGTTACTTAAAGAATTCAGAAAAAGACACAATTCAGTTCGAAAACACTTGGAAAACACAATCAACTTAACCTCAAACGTAACGAACAGTTGAACAGTGGTTCAAGTTACATCCAATATCGGTCACGGTCTTACTGGGGATACCACAGGCGAATACATATTCAAATCATGTAAAAAATAGGGATGAATTTTAAAAACTGCAGAATTGCAAAACTGAACGACTCGGTACAATTTAAAATTTTTAGCATTCATTTTAATAAAATTTCCAAAACCCATTAATGCAGGTAAACGGCGGAACTGTAGACATCATTAATCGTCAGAATTTGGTAAGACACACGTACTTTGTTCAAATGTTATTTCAAATGTAACTCGATTACAAATTATATTGCTCACTCGATAGTAATCCAACAGGGGAAGCCAATTACTGAATAACGAATTGCAAATGGGAAGGCTGTATAACTTAAACAGAAAGAACTCAACCAGCCAAGAAGAAAATGTTATAAATATATATTTACACTTCCCTAAGGAAATCGTATTTTCCACCGATACGATATGATACTTAACAGACTGCGAACTAGATGAAAATAAATCAATTTTGTTTTAATGTGGCAATCGTTTTTGGTGTTCTCGTAACTTTTGCTTCAATATAAATTCTTTTTTGTCCTACCCCAAATGAATGAACTTCCATGGAAATGTTTTAAATAAACTTTCACCCTGTGATAACCCAAACATCTCGTCTAAAATTGGCATGTGAACAAAATTCTAAAAAGCCGTGAAAATTTGAAAAGTGGTCATGAACGGTGATTGTCTACAAGATGGGACCCTACGTTGGGTTTTAAATGGTGGAATGCATTCTAATACACGTGGTGGATCGAAAGGTGGAGAAGTGACCTTGAATTTGCTACACAAAAAATGGCGTGAATAATTTTGTTAATTTCTTTCAAAGGGCTGTGTTCTCAATTATCAAATTTAGTCGTTCTTTTCAAATGCAAGTTTACAAATTTCAATCAAATCAACACAGCTTGTTAAATGTACACAATTCTATAGCGAGAAGTGCTAATCGCACATCACAGTAAAAGGGGAATTCTCTTACCTTTCGAAACGTCCCTGTTCACTGCTCAAACGTACGAACTCCCTAGTACATACCACAAACCTTAATCACTAATGTTGTCTTATCAAACTCGAAATGGGTTAGCCGCAAAGTCGGCAAAAAAAGTCCAACTTTCAGTTGAATATCGGTCACACTGATGATTTAACATTACAAAAAAAAATTGGTCGAAAGTTGTTTCGACAGAACTTTCCTTGCTCCTGAAATACAATGAAAATATCCAGCATTTTCAAGTTGAGTTTTTTTTTTACACAATTTTGTGATGATGTCATCAACATTTTTGCAAGGACACGTATATCAACTTGGATTAGTGCAGTGTAGTGTAATACTAAAAATAACAATATTGTATTCCGAAAGTTTTCTGGGAAAATGGAGTGAGCCGTTCCTGATTTAATCAATAAAATAAATCGACACATTCATTAATTTTTTGAACCACCTGTTTAAGGAAATCTAAAAAATATGAATGCAAAAAAGTAAAAACTCATATATATTTTGTACATTTTGGCTAGAAATTATTCGGCAAAATTTTGAGATGACGTTATCAATTTTTTGGAGGGGCTAAAAGATAGATTTTGATTAACAATTTTTTAATGAAAATGTATCTGTTTATCAACCCAAAAAAACTGATTACGGCATCTCAAAATTTTGCCGAATAAATTCTTTCGCAAATGTGCAAAATATGAACAGACTTTTAATCATTGCATTAATATTTTTTAGATTTGCTTAAACCGGTGACTCAAAAAAATTAATGAATCAGTCAATTTATTATTGATCAAATTAAGAACGAGCCACCCCATTTTCTGGAAAATGTGAGAATACGCTCGTCTTTATAACAATAAAATAATGATAAGGTAAGAATTATAATAATAACATTACATTGAATTCTTTCACCAATTTTCTTGTTTGTTAATATCCAACACTTCTAACCTGCCCTGTATTATTATTATTAATTAATAATGAAAACAAAATAACATTCAGAATATTTTGTTCAATGGACGCTTATGAATAATTTTAGTCATCTGTTTCGGGGCGATAAACTCATTCAAATCAAACAAATGTCTACGTGACATTCTTCCCCTTGATAATGTGCTGCAAATAAATTATTTGCACTCATAACCTTTTTAGATGACCTTGGCGCATTCAACAGCATGCGGGACGTCGAACATCACGCACAGATGCGTTTTGCTATGACGTCGTTGTTTATAAATAAAGCTGGGGGGGGGTCGAAATTGATTCATCCTTACTCGCTTCTCGCTTTCCAATTGTGCATCATTTTTAATAATTTATAGAAATAGTTTTATTTTCAGCGAGACCGACACTTAAAAATGATTAAAAATATTATTAATATTAATTTATTAATATTATGTCGTGGATATGGATTTTAACTCATCAACTGACGTTCAGTTAACGTTAGTTTTCTCATACAGTGACAACGTTCCTGTTGTGTATGTTATAGTGAAAGTTGGAAATGCAGTTAATTCTAACAATCACTAGGGAATGCTAGCATTCACTAGTCAAAAGTTGTCAGTAAATGCCATGGGCGCCCATAGAAACCTTTCTCAGGGGGGGCCACCCTGAAATTTTTGTAATATACTCTGTTCTTGTATATATAAATAATATAATGATATAAATCTTTACTATTATAAATATATATTTTAATCATCAACTACGTTAATCAAATCTACTCGCAAATAACCCTACAACATCTTTATTCTTATTATTAACAAAACAGTGTAAAATATTAAAATTAAAAAGTTATAAAAATATAAAATTAATCAAAAGCAAATTGCTAATTTCTTTTTTCTTGGCCAAAATCGTCAATTACTCTACCAACAGATGTTTCTTCGGCATTAACTCTCTCTCTCTCTCTCAAATACTACTGTCAAGTTTTTTTATTTTTACAAAATCCTGCCAATTTTGGATTTCGTCTGATAAATTGTCAGTGGAGTAAAATTCGCCCAACCCTTTAAAGCAACTTGGTTTTAAGTTATGTACATTTTTTGGATGTAAGGAAAATAATGAGTATGATGACACTTTTGTTTCGGAAAATCATGTCGTTAAGGAAAGAATGAAATGATCCAGGTATGGAATAAAAGTGCCAAAATAATTTTCTATGCTATCTGTGTTGTAGTTCGCACGCCCACTGGTGAAACAGTTCTGGAGCAACCGAAATTTCCACTCGAAATCGATGGCTACTCTGAAAATCCGCCATCAGTAGTAATAAATAACACCACTTATTTTATACTTCTTATTAGCTGAAGTATCATCATCAGTATTTGTAATTTTTCTCTTGAAGAAATTTCAAATATCCATATTTCTTTGTTTTTAAATAAAATATTAAATTTAAAATTTAAACAGACATTTAATCAAGAGTACTTACGCTTGTATTTTGAAATAAATAAATAATAAAAAGTATAGTCAACAAAACGCCGGTTTAACAACTATTCGTCTTTACACGTCACTTCACCACAGATCAAAAGTGAAAACGGAATGAATTTTTCGACGTAAGCAATAAAATGTTTGCTCTTGTGTTGTAATAACTGTAAAAATCAAATAACGAAACAACCCATAATTCAGTACCGGTTAAAAAGGATAGATTTATCATGTTTCCAGGCAAATCTGGGTCGAACAGAGGGTTTCAAAACCAGATGGTCTAAGTTTGTCACATTTCTGTGTTTGTGTGGCCATAAAACTGAAAGTGTAGGGTATGTATCTACTCTTACAAATGTGCTGAAGTTTAATTTTGACAAATAAAAAAGAAATTGACGCAGAATCTCAGGGGGGGGCATCGCCCCCCCTGGCCCCCCCCTATGGGCGCCCATGGTAAATGCCAGCATTCCCTAGTGATTGTTGGCATTCACAGGTTTCCGGCTTTCACTGTAACATATACAATAAAATTTTATCATGGTTTAAGCCAGTTAACTTCACAGCGGTTCATACCCACCATAAATTGTAATTTGAAAACCGGACAATTGGAAGACTAGTAACCCGAGCGGTTCTTAGCTACCCTTCTTCTGGTTGAACAATAGCGGCGCATGCCAAGGCGGTGGGACACTCAGTGAGTGAACAACGTTTCTATTATATGTAGTTTTCTTCGCGATGCGTAACATCGGTTACGAACCGTTGGTCTGGCGTGGTCCATACGCAGCGCATAAATTTCAACCGCCTAGCCCAATTTTTTTTTAGTATTACACTACATCTATCCAAACTGATATACGTGTCCTTGCAAAAATGTTGATGACGTCATCGCAATTTTTTTTTAAATGCTCCGCTACAAAAATGTAATGAGAAAAAAAAACATAATAGGCATGCCGTCGTCACGTTTCCGACAGCGAAGAAAGTACTGTCTAAACTCTTTAGACCAATTTTTTAATAGTGCATTATTACACGTATATTTCATAAGGCAATTATTGTGGCCCGAATAAGTTTTGACCACGACGAGCGCAGCGAAAAGTGGCCAAATAGAATGAGTGCCACAAGTCGTCTTATGAAAAAAGTGTAATATACTATTTTTTCTACTAAAGTAGAAAAATTCATATATTCTAAAAAAAATATATTTTTTCGATTAGGGATTTCCGACAGTCGACTGGTAACATAATCAACATTTTCGTGATCATTTAACACAAAAGGGAGTAAAAAGATGGAAATATTCAATTGGGCTAGTTATTATTAACAATATTCACTGACATTTGGTTCCTACTTTCCATTAGTTTTCGACTCCTCGCATATACATATTCAAGGAAAAAGTTACTGTTTTGTATGCTATAACCATATATCTAATGGTACTATATTGCTAACTGGCCTCAAAAGATTCCGAAAACATAACGGCAGAGCAATATATTGGACCTCTCTGTCTCTCTGTGGTACTAAACAGTACTGCGCATGCACTCGTACTTGGTTGACTTGTGACTGGATGCGTTTTGACATTTCGTACTTTCGCTTCTATTTTGTGTACATGCGCACAGACCCTCGGTACTCTTATAGACAGAAAACAAAGACTTCAAATATATATTTGAAGTCTTTGACAGAAAACAACATCTTCTGTCTCTCTCTGTCTGTGAACACCGTTTCTATGTTACTTCTGAAGAGTTAGCAATATAAATAGTACTATCAGTGTACTATTAGATATATGGCTATAACAGTAATAAAAGTAAATGTCATTATTGTGAAACGCATATGCGTTTCATAATGAAAATATTATTGACGCAAAGTAGAATTTTCAATGTTCTCATATTTCTGCATTTGGTTTTTCTGCTGTAACTTCAATTGATTTAAAAACTGCAGTGTATCTCACAAACATAAAAACAGTAATGTCTGCTTACGCCACTGACTTGCAACAAACGCATTAATGTGTATGCAGAGAGCAGAGCGTGATGTAAGAAGGAATTTCGTTTGTTTATGGGTGTCACAAATAAATGACCATTTACCATTATGTTCGGTCTATACATATATAAGATCTTTACATTTAGTGCATTTAATATCTATTTAGTGAATTTAGTTGATTACGTTGGTTATTAGTTGACACAAAATTCCCCAGATATTTACCATTGGTGTTTAGGTGATTAGTTGCTCAACTCCATGAATGTAGTGAGCAGAGCAGCCCTAATTTGTTTATTTATTATGGTATATTTTCAGTAAAGAATGATTTTAATTTTAGTTGTGATCATAAATTAGAACAACTAGTGCCTAGAAATGAGTCACATGTCACCATTTCGTCTAAATGTTCAAAATATTGCATCGGAACTCTCAACTTCAGGTTCAAATCCCAAAAAGCGAAGAAAAAATGTTCAAACACCAATACAAACGCCTCCAAATGTACAGGATTTGTTGCCACCTCCGTTATCGGGATATGGAGATACTATTGTAGCCTCAAACCCCTTTGATGATTGCCCAAGTACAGTGAATTCAATAAATGTCAGAAATAGTGCTTCCATGGGCATGGGCCCTAATATGCCTATGGGCGTCAATAACATGAATATGTGTAGACCTATGGGTAAATAGCAGACACGCTTGTTATCACTCTTACAATATTATACATATTTAAGGTCCTGCGATGGGAATGGCGTCTCCATTGATGCATAGCCCAAATTCGCACCCCAATCCTCATATGATGAATAATCCGATGATGATAAATGGCCCTCGATTGAATGGTCCAATGGCAAACCACATGGGCCCCCACATGATGCACAGTCCAAATGGTCCTATGCATTCTATCACAGGTCCTATGCATAGTCCAATTAATAACATGGGACCAGGAATGCAGGGCCCCATGACGGGAAATGGACCAATGAGCGGAAGTATGGGAGGACCTGGGCCTATAAATAATGGACCTCAAATGAACGGCCCTATGCCTGGTACAATGAATATGAACAGCCCAAATGGACCGATAGGTATTAAATGCTTGATATGAAATGAAATAAGTGTATTTAAAAAAAATCCTTTTTTATTAACTATTATTTGTTCATCATTTCAAATTTTGTTATCTCAAAGGTTATCACGTCCATGGAAGATTACAAAATTCATTAGATAACAGTAAAGTGTTGTAATTGAAAAGGGCATTATTCACATTAGTGGTTTCATAATACAACAATTTTCATTTACAAGAGAACATATTAATTACTTTGGATATAATGTGCTGGTAATAAGATTGTCATTTAAATTCTCAATGGTCATAAAATTTCAGACACCAAGTTTTAAATCGAAAAATTCCTGTAAAAATATTTCAGAATAAAACTGATAGACTATTAATTAATTTTAGGCTCAGTGTAATGATAATGAATATGATTTCACGCCATCTTCACTTTTAATCATTGAACAGTTTAATTGGTTATATTCTTTGAAAATTTGTTATAATGTTGACTTCCAAGTAAAAGCCAAAGTATTTGTAATATAAAATAACAAACACAATAATAATGATGCATAAACGTTAATAAAATGTTTTGTAAACTGTTCCCAGATAACCATTTAACTTTATAGTCTTAGTTTTGCCCTTATCTTGAATTTTACATCAGATTGTTTAACCTAAATTGTTTTAACAGGACCCCACCATAATAATAATTTTATGATGTCGCCTATGAATACTATGTATTCAAAACCTATGCCTGTGAGCGCAGGCAAAGTATATCCTGCAGATCAGCCAATGGTAATTTTATATTATTAAAATGATTGTGTTAATATAGTTAGACTTTTCAGGTATTTAATTCACAAAATCCAAATGCACCGCCTATTTACCCCTGTGGAGTATGTCACAAAGAAGTTCACGATAATGACCAAGCTATTTTATGTGAAAGTGGTTGTAATTTTTGGTTCCACAGGTAATCAAATCTTAGATTCATGTATATTTTTCAACTTTTCGTTGTTTTTAGGGGTTGTACAGGTTTAACAGAAGCGGCTTTCCAGTTATTAACAGCAGAAGTATATGCAGAATGGGTTTGTGATAAATGTTTAGCATCAAAAAATATACCACTAGTTAAATTTAAACCATAGTTGTAAAATATACCAATACTTAATATTGTTACATGTTATTTAAAAGCCATTATTTGATAAGATAATAAGACTGAAGATATTTAAAAAAAATCACATCACTTGTTTTAAGGCAAATCATATATTGTAGAATCTCGTTGTAATTTAATATATTGTACATAGTGTATTAGAATACAATTTTGTAAGTGCATGTAAAGGTCTTCTAGTAAGCAAGCCTACAACTAGTTTTAATATATATATAAATATATATTTGTGTATGTATAATTTTCAATTGTAATTTAAATGTATGATACACACTATTTTCTTTCTTTTTTTTTATTTTGAAAAAAAGGGATGAACACCATGTCGTTCTCATTAATTAGGAACTTTATGAGTGAAAAGACGGTCACGTTTTTGTAATTTTTTTTTAATGCTGTGACAATGATCGTATTGTTGAGCCACAACAGTCAAGTGACGTCAGTAATAGTTATGTATATATGACTAACAAGTAAGTTAAATTTTGGTAAACAATTAAAAATATTACTACAATAATTTTTTAGGATCTTGGAGGTATCATTATTGAAATATACAGCTATGAAATAAGTTTTGACTAGAAAAATACGATTGTTGAGTTTATACAAGATATCTCAAAAGCATTATTTTATTTATTGTTGTTTCACTTTAAATGTATAATTATAATATAACATGGTGCCTTACCCGTAGTTTTGACCAGCTATCCTACTTTCACCTTTGCATATATTTTAGGAAAAAGTTAAACCGTTAAATATTAATTTTATCATGGGTATTATACACAACATAGTTTATCAAAACATTGGCATGGATTTAAGGATTACATGATTACAATATTAATTAAAGTTTATTTATTCACCCAGAGAGTTGATATCATTTTTTAAAATTATGAGAACATATGTAACATCATAATGTTAATTGTGTTGCACTGTATATAATATATACAAAATTAGTACATATTTATATCCAAAAAGTATATTTAAAATATTTGTACTAAATAAGTTTTGGAATGAAATCTTAACTGTAGTTTAGTAGATTTAATTCTGTGTACGCAGAATGTCCTAGAAAAATTAATCGGTAAACCAACGTATTTTGGCTGTTATCTCAGAAAAAGCTTACTTAGGGGACAGTATCTAATAGTTTTAGCGAAACTCTAAAAAAAAATTTGATCAATAGTGTTACATTGTACATATCGAAATTAATAATATATTTATCCCCCCTCACAACAATATCCTTTTTTATTTACAAAAATTATCAAAAATGAAAAATGTGAGAAACTAGGGCGAACTTTTGGTAATACCTATAATAATATTTGTTTGAGAAAAAACATGGATTAGTGTCTTTTATGATTATAACCATAGAAAGTACGTCACATATATAAATAAAACTTCGCTGAAACTTTTGGAACACCATAAAATTGATGTAGGTATATGTCCCTATCAAAAAGTTTAAAAACATGTTAAATAAAATTACTTGAAAATACATTCCAACACGTAAGTGGACTCTGTTGGGCTTCAAAAACAAAAACATTTTTTAGAAATATATGTGAATCAAAATTTTTAACCACACACCTTGACTTTTGTAGTATTCTCTTGTTTATGTTTGATCCTTCAAAATATTGTATTTAAAATGACAAAATATTAAATTACGCCACCATTCAAAACATTCATTGACAAATGTCAACTATTTGTTAGGGGAAACGGGAAAATAAATACCCTAAACGTGCATCTAATCCTAATTCACTCGTTATTATTAAACACGCATAAGTGTTTACTACCTTTTAATTATTAAATGCTTACAATGTCTTTAGAAGCATAGCACATATAAAACTTTATTAAAAATTATACAACCAAATAAAACATGGGCGACAAAATTAAGGTAACAACAATCTATAGAAACCATTTCGATGAAGTTTTCTCCTTTGTAGAATATTCCTGAGCAAAAATTAAAAGCTTTCTCCATCGGAACGATGGGAAAACGATCTTTATCCAAGAAGGAGTTAGAGGAACAACGGAAAAAAGAGGAAGAAAGAGCCGCAGCTCATGTAAAATACTTCATTTCATTTCACATAACCTCTTAACTAACAACTTTCAGGTCTTTGAAGAATTTGTGGCTACATTTCAAGAGTCCCCAATTAGTAGTTCAAGCAAGGTCTGGGTAAAAGCAGGAACGTACGATGCAGGAGCTAGAAGTAAGGGTTTTTTAGGGAATTAAAAGTTGCTAAATTTAGGTTTATAGAGGAAGATACGAAAGATAAAGGTAAACTGTATAAGCCACAGTCTCGTATTCCCTCAGCTGAGATCGCAGCACCTACAGAAAAGGCCCAATTTTATGCAAAACTTATTTCTGATAAAAAGCCAGAGCGGTTAGGAAAAAAGAAACAACATACAAAGAGCAACCTCGAAGCTTTTAAAGAAGAATTAAGACAGTGAGTTTTTAAAAAGTCTGAGTATTTCAACTAATTTTCTTTGTTGTAGGATTCAAGAAGAACGTGAGGAGCGGCACAAGTATAAGGGTGTCATTCGCACACCAATGGAATCAGAATTGGATATGTTTTTACGAAGCGGGGATTTGGGTTCTTTTGATAACGGCGATCCAACAACAACAAATTTGTATCTTGGAAATCTCAATCCAAAGGTAGAAAAAAGTTTGACAAAATGTTTACATATTAAAATGTGTGTCGTATTCATAGATTACGGAACAGCAATTGATGGAAATATTTGGGCGCTATGGTCCACTCGCTAGTATAAAAATCATGTGGCCGCGCTCTGACGAAGAAAAGGCTCGTGGTCGTAACTGCGGGTTTGTGGCATACATGAGTCGAAAAGATGGTGAAAGAGCGTTGAGAAATCTAAATGGAAAAGAAATTTTAGGATATGAAATGAAGTTAGGCTGGGGAAAGTCAGTTATAATTCCTCCACATCCAATTTATATACCTCCAGCGCTTCTAGAATTGTCATTCCCTCCACCTCCATCAGGTTTACCATTCAATGCGCAACCCTGTGCTAAAGATAAAGATATCTTACCCAAATCTGCTGAAGAACTTACTGATATTTTGTCTAGGAGTGTGGTTAAGGTCGTCATTCCCACAGATCGAAATTTGTTGATGCTTATTCACAGAATGGTGGAGTTTGTTGTAAGGGAAGGACCAATGTTGGAAGCTATGATTATGAATAGGGAAATACACAATCCAAATTATAGGTAAGAACTTCAAATTTGACATTACATATTATTATTTTTTTTTATAAATAGGTTTCTTTTTGAAAATCAAAGCCCAGCCCACATCTACTATAGGTGGAAATTATATTCCATTATGCACGGAGATTCACAGAAAGAGTGGAGTACAAAGGAATTTAGGCTTTTCAAAAGTAAGTATTCATACTTATATATTTGATGTTATTGCGTAATTTTTGTCTATTGTTATAGATGGTTCAATTTGGAAACCACCCCTTATGAATTCATATACCGCGGGAATGCCAGACGAATTAGTGAATGATGATGAAGGAAAAGAAAATACCAAAGGGTCCCTTTCCAACACGTATGTATTTTTTTCAGTAATAAATATTGGTATAACGTCAATAGATGTTTGAGATTAATGTGCTCTTGTTTCTCTCTCTCTCTCGTTAAATTCAGGTTGTACAAGTATTAAAAGAATTTCAATTGTCAACGTTGAAAGTGACGTTGGGAAACAAGACGCCTCCTTGGAATTAGAAGTAGTGAAACTGATGACGTGAAGCAACAAAACAATGAGTTTTGAAAATCAAAAAACGAACCGAACTTTTGTTGCTTGAAAATTGTACCAGTGACACAGGCGATACTATTGTTGTTCTCGTTATTTATCTTACATTATACTAAATAATGCGTTCATTAAGAGATCAAACAATAGTCATTTTTATTTGTACAACTACTAATTTCAGTTATGAGTACTTGAAAACAACAAATTGAAAATGTTTGGGACAACCTCATACAAAACTCCAGAAACTGGAAGCGTTCAAAACAGTTAAAAACAAGGAAGACTACTTTGTTAGTCAAAATAAACACATTACTATGTTTCCTGAAATTGTTCTAATCCACAACAATTCTATAGAGAAGCATATTTTACAAAATTATTTTTAAAAAATCCCACCTGAGAAGATCAGTAATTTGGTATAGGTATAATGCAACTATTTTGAAGTTTGAAATTTGAAAAATTAATTCGTGCACGCAATTTACTACACACTACTTTACTCAAATTCTAATATCGTGAATCGCAGAGAAAAGAGACAAGTCGATCTTTAATCTAGAAACATGATGATTTATTACAGATTTTAATTTATTACTCGCACAATTCACACATTCTTTCTGAGGATACTTGTAGTTTTGTGATGATTATCAAAAGAATGTAATAAGTACACGTTTCGCATTTGTAAATTTAAAACTAGCATATATTGTTATATGCCTAATTCAGGAACATGTTTTTTTTTTTTTTTTTTTGTTCATAAGGAGTATGATTTCCTAGATGCTATCAGAATATTACATAATTGATTATGAATCAATGTATTTTATTAACTAACTCAGGAAATATTTACCTAATTTCTCTGCAATTTTGAGAACATAATACCGTCTCAATTAATTATGCAGTATAAATGTCAGTATTAATATATTTATATAGGATAATACTATCCTTACACGATTTATATGCATACGTATCCCAAAAAGTTAATCATGTAAATAATGCAGAAAAATATATTTATTTATTATCAATAATTTTATATAATGGTAATGCAATTTTCCGTTATTTCAGTGGTGTATTATTTTAAGTACATTTCGTTATTGGTTGAAAGATCACAGTTAGTACAACTTTTCCATGCCTTTTTTATTTCCCGAATAAGAGAGTAGTTTTGATAAATATTTAACATTGCGTTTTTTGGCGTTTCACAGCTTGTCTGTTGAGATTTTATCAACATAACTGATAATACTGTATGAATTACTTTAAAAGTTTAGATTTAAGATTATCGTAAATATATTAAGATGCTGGCTACTTTTTTTTTGTAAACTTCGTCGAAAATCTAGCATTCCTCTATGTGCGGTTTATAATACACCTCTATTTTTTGTTTTGCATTACGGGAATTATTCTGAGAAGAGCTTTTGGTAAAACGGTAAAATATAAAATGAGTCAGGGGAAATACAGCACATCCTTTAAAATTTAGTTATACATGCCCATAAGAAAATTAATAACGTCACCTTCAAACTTATTGAAAAATATCACAAAAATCTTACCGATTGGCTTTAGAATGGGTCATCTAATTTCTCGTGGGAACGCACTTGTGTCATGATTAGCGTTACATTGTACTATTAAATTAATATATAATGTTGATATTTTTTAGGCAACGCGATCGACTCGAAGATCTAATCCGTGGTTTAACTCCTGAAAGAAGTAAAATAGGAGAAGCTATGGTTTTCTGTATAGAACACAGTGACGCCGCAGAAGAAGTGGTCGATTGTATTACAGAATCTTTATCAAATAGCTCCACCCTAATTACGAAAAAAATAGCAAGACTATATTTAGTGTCTGATATTCTACATAATTGTGGAGTGAAAGTAAACAATGCGTCATTTTACAGGAAAGCGTAAGTTATGTGGACATTTTTTTGACTGGAATTTCAGTACATACGCGCACTGTTTAGGTTCGAATCAAAACTCGTTGACATAATGGTAGAAGTTAAGAAAGCTTATGATAAATTAGAAGGAAGACTGCAAGCTGAAGGCTGCAAATTACGGGTTTTAAGGATTTTACAAGCTTTGGATGATTCTATTTATCATAAAGACTACGTAAATAAATTACGGACAATCTTTTTAGGCATCAGAGAACAAGTAATGTTTTATAGTTTTTTTATTCTAATTTATTTCATTTATTTAAACAGGAAGTTAAAGAAGAATCGGTTGCCGAAAGCAATATAGATATAGATGGTGATCCTTTACAAGATCAGGCCGAAACAGACGACGATGTTCCAATGGATGGAGCTACACTTCTTAAAAGTGCAATGAAGCGGTACAAAAATACAACAATTGCTGCTGAAGACATTGATGGTATTTAGACGACCATGCATATGAACACTTTCACTGTTTTTTTTTTTGTTTTTTTTTTTTTCCTTCAAAGGAAAGGAAATTGTTGATGACCCTAGCGACGTTGTGGTGTCAACAAAAAAAACTGTAGGACCACTGTCTGGGTTTATAATGTCAAAATGGGAAACCATTGATCCCGAGCAAGTAGAAGCACAGGCAATGACTACCAGTAAGTGGGATCTTTTGGGTAGTAGTGCGGACCCTAGTCAAGATGGTTCTTCAAATGAGAATCAAGATTCCAATGATTATACAGATTCCAGGTTAGACCTGATACGTTTGACATTGAATTTTGTAATAAAACATTGTGTTATGTAGGAATTTAACAGAAGAAAGACGCATAAAATTAAGGGAAATTGAAGTAAAAGCTGTTCAGTATCAAGATGAACTAGAATCAGGACAAAGAGCTTTAAAGACTGGCTGGACCCTTCCCCAACAAGTGGAACATTATAGACGAAAATTGTTAAAAAGAAGTGAGAAAGAACGAAAAGACAAAGATATGAAAAGTGAAAAACACAAGAAAGATTACGATAAATCAGAGAGAAAAGATGGAGGTAGTTCAGACGACGAAGTTTATTACAAAGAAATGTAAGAATCGTACCGTGTTTTTGGTTTCTTATTAAATGTACAAACTTTGGTATTTCAACAATTCAATCATACTCTCTATTGTTTTTTTGTTGAAAAATTAAAGTCGGACATTACATAACATTTAATAGGAAACGCTACTGTGTGGTTATATATAACAAAACATTACTCATTGTAGTAAATCTAGAAAGTCAAAAAAAGTGTCGCGCAGCTCGTCGAGTGGGTCTACGTCAAAGCACAGGTAACAAACGTATTGCAACCATTATTTTATTCTCAAATACCTTTCCAACGAACTGTTATTTAATCAGATATATCTTTTGCTATGTGCATATTTAGGTCGAAAAGTCGTTCACCAGCAAGAAAGAAAAGTTACAGAGGACCCAGCCCTCCCAGTCCTCCTCATATTCGACGCCAGTCACCATTTTCATCCCGATCCCGCAAATCCAAAGATTCCTTGTCACCGCTTAGTTCATCCAACGGTAAATATGGTTCACCTACGCGTGTGACCAAAAGACGATCGCCCTCCCCAACACGTACAAAAAGTAGTCGTAAGTCTTCTTCCCCTCGAAGTCGTAGAACACCTTCACCTAGAAGTCGTCGTGGAAGCACGTCGCCATACAGATCGAGATATCACTCCCCAGAACCGTCACGAAAACATCGACATAAACATAAATATTAATGCCACTCAGAAGCGCCATCACCAAATAAAACGGTTTTAACACTTTAGGATCATTAAGTTTAATCAGCTGAAATTTTACCTATTTTTATTACCTTCTGATTCCATTATGTTTAACGGTTTTACGTATATTGAATAAGTCAGATGAGTTGACAATTTCACATGAAGTTTACATCAGCCGAAAATTAGCTATATTTTGATTTCATTATATTTAACGGTTTTACGAATTAATGTATGCTCATGAACCTGTATAATGTTGTAATAAAGCGTATTTTTTTATTTGGTCAATTTATAGCACTCACTTCTTTCTCGTATAGAATATTCCCAGAAAATCCTCATTACAGCTAAGAGCTGCCTATAAATCATGGCTCACTTATAATGAGATAAGACAGAAATAAAAAATTAATGCTGACAAAATGATTTATTACCAAACAACACCAAGAAAAAAGTATAAATCAACAATCGAAATCATGATAAATAAATAATACAAAATAAACATTATCGAGTTTGCTTCAAACTATTTCGTTAATTTGCAATGCAAACTTACAGTGAAAAGCTCTAAAGCACAGGACGCGTTGGTACCAAAATAGTGCAATTATTTTTTTGACTTCTTCTTTCCACCGCCTCCTGTTTTGCGAGGAGGAGGAGTAGGCGATACAGAAGAAGCTGCACTTGTAGATTCCGGCTTCGGTTTGGGCGCCGCTTTCGACTGCTCGGTCACAGATTTAGATTTATCTGTGTCGGAGGGTGGGCTGTCCACTTTTGAAGGCGTTGAAACTTCAGCAGACGGTGCAGGTTTGGAGGTTGGAGGAACTACAACCGAAGGTTCGGGGGCAGAAGTTTCAGCTGCGGGAGTTTCCGTAACGGTGGAAGGAGACTCGATAGAAGGCTGTTTTGGTTTAGTCGTAGAAGGCGTTTCAGTAGACGGTTGAGAAAGCGCAGTATCGGCTGAAGGTTGAGACGATAAAGCTTCAATAGGAGGTTTCACAATTTCCGCTGTAGATTTAGTACTGGGAGGAACTTGAGTGGAAAGTGGCGAAATGGGTGGGATTTCAGTAGAAGGTTGAGTAGATGGAACTTCAGATTTGGAAGCTCCAGTGACAGCTTTAGGAGAAGGAAGACCTTCGGTATCAGCTTGAGAAGAAGGGGGAGTTTCAACTTCCGTTGGCGGTTTGGAGATAGGGGTACATTCTGTGGTAGGTTGTGCAATGGGAGAGAGAACTTCTTTTGATAGTTTGGAAGGAGCGGGAGCTTCCGTGGCAGGCGGAGAAATTAGAGCAGTTTCAGCAACAGGTTGAGAAGGTACAACTTCTGAAAGTTGAGGTACAACTTCTGGTTGTTGAGGCGCAACTTCTGGTTGTTGAGGTGCAACTTCTGGTTGTTGAGGTGCAACTTCTGGTTGTTGAGGTGCGACTTCTGGTTGCTGAGGTGCAACTTCTGGTAGTTGAGGTACACCAGGAGAAGGTGGAGTTTCAATAGAAGGTTGAGAGAGTGTAGGAGCTTCAGCGAGAGATTGAGACGTTGAAAGAACTTCACTGGAAGTCTGAAGCGTTAGAGGAGTTTCACCAGAAAGTTGGGGTGTCGTAGAAATTTCACTTGAAGGTTGCGGCGCTGTAGGAGTTTCACCTGAAGGTTGCAGTGTTGCGGGAGTTTCAACGGAAGGTGATGACGCAGGGGGAAGTTCACTGGAAGGTTGAGAAGATAAAGGACTTTCTGCAGGCGTAGAACTTGTAACAGTTTCACCAGAAGTTTGAGATGTAGGAGCAGCTTCGACAGAAGGTTGAATTGTAGGAGCTGTAGGAGGGCTTACAGAAGCCTGTCCTTCTTGTGGTGATGCGATTTTCTCTTCTGCAGTCTTAAGTACGGGAGCTACTGGCGGTTCAGTGGCAGCAACTTGTTGAACAACTTCAGCAATTTCTTTTGGTTGTTCAGCAACTCTCAATGGACACTGTAAGTCCCCACTTTCTGGGGTTACAAGTGCAAAGCTTCCTTCTGAAGCACCAGGCGTCTTTACCGGAGTCTCTGGGGAAGCTTTACTTTCCGAAATAATTTGAGATTCTAAAGGAATACTTTGAGAGATAGGTGCTGCAGATGTGGAATCTTGAAAAGATGTCGTCTGAGGTGACGGTTGAGCTTCTGCTAAATTTAAATTTATTGTATTTTTTTTTAATAAGGTAAGATCAGATCAGTTAGTAAGTTAGAAATTATTACAGTAATAAATAATCCAAAATCAAAACAAACCTTCGTATTTTATTAGTACGGGTTAATAGAATTTGTGTTAATGGTTCGCCTGCGTATAAATTAAACTGCGAAAGCTGCAATATTTATTAATGAAATTAATGAAAATGTACACTCCTTCAAAACAATTACAGTTGCATATTTGTACGCTCCTATGTTTTAACAAGCGTTGTTATCTTCTTATGCGCTACAGCCGTTTTAACATTCAACTGACCTTCACTGGCACTTTTCTCTGATTCTCGTACAGTCGGAGATGGTGTTGCATCTAAATTTACAAATATTAACTAAACATGAATTTTAAATATAAAAAAGTGATTAAGCTAAAACGGCGACGAAAACATAACACAAGCAAAATTCATTATCGCCTCATAAAAAATAAAATACACATTTTTTTCTAAAAAATAACATGCAGATTATTATAAAAATCCCATAATGATTTTTCTTATTATTCAGTTTTAAGCCACACCTGTAGTTTTTGGCGCTGAAGGTAATCCAGCAGATAGAGTTTCACAAATTTTACTCCAAATATTATCAAAGGAATCCCTTCCCATATAGTCGATATTACCAACTTCCCATCCTTGTCGTCGCAAGTGATCATCAAGAGCACATTGTTCGGCTGTTCTGGGCGCACCTAAAGTTAGTTGGGCAAAAGCACCAGCGAGTCCACTCTGTGAAAAATATATTCAATTAGCGTTGTCTTTATAAATGTTTCTCTAGATGGACAATTTAAGATAATACTTACACTAGATTCGTCTTCACAAGGGGCCACGTGCAATGTAGGCTCTTTATAAACAGTAGCGGCAGCTTCGCTTTCGTTTGAATGCACATGAGGAGTTGGTGAGGCAGGATTAGGTACACATATCAAAAGCTGAGATTGCAGTTGTGCATCTTGACAGGAATAAATAGGATCTGAAGAAGTTGGGGGTGCATAGTTTTGCACAATTTCCGGAGGTGAAGTTACAACTTTCGTAGGAATTTCTACTGGTAAATGAGACTGTTGTAAGGAGTTTAGAGATTTGTTGTTTTGAAAGGAAGACGATTTCGATTTTTGAAATACATTCTGGATCGGAGATTGGGGACGTTCATCCCTATCATATGCATTTGTATTGTGAGATTCAATAGGCTTTATTTGTGAAAGCTGTGAATTAAAAAAAGGCTGCGATGTTAGATTTGATGGACGAAAAATGTGTGTTTCTTGTATTTTGTGGACTGGATTAAACGGGACTCTTATTTCTTCAGGAAAAGAATATTCTTGAGGAAGGATCTGGGATTGCTTTTGATCGTATTCCTCCCAAGGATCCCAAACTATATTTTTGGTGCTTATTTGGGGTTTATCGTAATTCTGAGAAGTGCAAGAGGACAAACTAGTGTGCGTAACATCTGAACTGCTTCGAGCCTGAGCAAACACAAGCATGCAAAAAAAAAATACTTATTCAACTTTGAGTATTAACACATCATCAAATTATCTAGATATTATTTATAAACATGCAAAGTACTAATGCCAATTAAAACTCAAAATACAAAAGCAAGTTTATCTGCCTCATGCAACTCAGCCAGCAACTACATCGTCAGTAAGACACATACTGCACGTTCTGTTTTCAACGTTATTCAAAATCGAACATTATTTATTATAGTACCGAGTGACTATTAATGATTGAAACAAATTTTTCTGTTGACAGTTCTGAATTATTGGTACCATGTCAGTTCACAGTTCGCAATTTTGGCATGAAGGTGCATAACAAACGTGAAGAGTCGCTACTGACTTAGTGTATAGTGTATAAAATTTGACATAAATATGTTCCCAACGTGAAAAAAAAAAATCACACATAGTCGCTCGGTATCTCAAAAAATTTGTTGTTGCGATGAACCATAATGTAATTAAAGAACATCGTGAATTAATTCAGAGATCACCACATCGGTATACACCGATATAACATGTTTTTGAAAATATCATTTAGCGCTCGTTTTCGAGTATCGAATGCAATACACGACACAACTGACTTGTGACCGCCTCCAACCACATAATTAAACTTAAAATCTAAGCCCATTAAAGTTGGATATTAGTGACTTTAAATACACCGTTTTGAACACAAAATATTACCAACATAAAATTTGAATTTACTAAATTAAATTATATAACGCTTTATATAACTATTCCATAAATGGTGTATAAAGCATACTTATTTTCGTGCATATTCTGATGGACAATTCAGGTATGTGTTTGTTAACACATTAAAATTCAAAAAAATAACTCACCTTACATTCATCACATCTACCTTCATTAGGCTTGCGAAATTTCAAACTACTTTATTTATTGAAACATTGTGAACCACCTCTCAGCAAAAATAAAGTATCCCCCCCCCACTAATGTAAAATATAAGACGCAATGTAATCTGAAACATACATTTAAGTGTTTAGAGATACTTTATTTTAGCAACTTTATCTTTACTAAAACCCACAATATGACTTCCAACTTACCATTTCTGTGGTCAATTGTGGATGAATTAAAGAGCAGAATATGTTCCACCAGTGTTGAAGAATACCTTCCAAATGCTTTACATCAGAAGAAGGTTGAACTTTTCTAGTTTCGGTATTAAAATATTGTAGCCAAGGTTTAGAAGAGCCAATGAAATGAATAATTTTTGCATCGACACCAAATCTGTTGTACAAATTAACCTTTATTTAGTTGTAAAGAGTAACTAACGGTTACACTTACTGTTTAAAAGCCGGTAAATAAGAATAACACGCTGTCGAACACATATTATAAATGAACGGTAAGTGTTTGCTAATATCTTTGGTGGCCCAATCTGAGAAGTATAAGTTAAGAAGCCCTTGATCTCCACCTAGTAAAGTTTTTAATTACAAACTACCAGATTAAGCTCCGTTACACCAACTATACCTCGTTTATTCCCACAAGGTGATATGCATATGTATAATTTCAAATAAGATAATTACTTAAAATACAAACTCTTAGTCGAAGAATGTTATTAATTCGCATAGAAATCCAATTGTATTTTTGAACTATTGGTCAAAGTTTTTAGAAACCAACTTATCAAAACAAACCAGGTATAGTTAAATTATCATGCAAAGCATACCATCGAAACTTCCTTTTTCTAGGGCGAATTGCACCAACTTTTCGTATGTTTCATTAGATGGGCGATATACAAATACTCCAGAATTAAAACAATCTGGCCAACCCACATCTGGAGCAGCAGACAATTCTTCTCTATCAAACAACTCATCACAATTACGTAATACCTACAATTTTAATTAATAATAGGACCTTTGATTTAATTACATAAAAATTGTGCTTTTGCTCGTTAATTTTAATTTTATATCACCACGATAACTCTCATCATATATCCCTCTTTTTGTTAGCAATATAATAACTTAAAAAAAAAAAACATACATTTAAAAAGATATGACCTAATTAAAAAATGACCATTCATCGATAATATATAAAATATTATACAAAATATTACATTAAATGATAGCTTAACATTTTGTGTCCACATTAGTTTTTTTTCTTGCAGATAAGTAACAGAAATCGGTGTTACTTTAAAATAATCATCAAACCTCCACGAATTCAATTACATTAATAACACGATAACGTAAAACTACTAAACCTTGAACTATATACTTGTTATATATTATTATTTTGGGTGTTAAATACGACAAATACAGTGGAATACTAAATTGTGAACACAAAAATTACACAACAACATGAAAACTTTTTCAAATAAAAAAAAACACGAAGCCATTAGCAAACAGAAAGGATTAATGCCAAAAGACCAAAGTTCAGAACTTAAAAATAACTACAGCGGTGAATGAAAGAGGATATTTAAGTTAATATAAACACAATTCGGTTATGTGAAAATATTTCTTGTGCTTATAAGCGCATGTATTTTAGTTAGCTCACAATCGTTCTATACTAGCGACTAAAACATTCTCTACAATTTTGTGGTCTTTTTGGCTACTTTAATATAACAAAAGGTCAAAAGTCAAAAATCAAGAAATCTGCTTTTTAATGATACTGATGATACTAGTTTAATCTTTCGATTTTATCGCATACGAAAAATGAAAACAATTTAGTTTTCTCAATGTAAACAAAACTATTAAAAATATTTTATTTTAGATAAAGCAGCCAAAATTTTCGACCTCAATTTGACTTTTCTAGCATTGGATTTTTTAAATGTTACATCTTATTCAACAGCATTAATATCATTCATAGGCAAAAGAGTAGAAATAGATGTAAACAAGAGTGCGACTATAGAGTCGTATAAATACATATGAGACATACCAATGTGTCTGCATCCAAAAATACACACTTGTCGAACTGTGTAAGACGCCAGCAGTGTAATTTAGTGAATGTTACACCTAATTCAGGTCTTTTTAACAGTCGCAGGTTTGTTTCATCTTTTGAATCTAAAATATTTACTTCTTGGACGACATTAAAAGTCGCTGATAACTTTTGTCTAAAAATAAAGAAGAGACAAAGTTATCATCCCAAATATATAATCAACAAATCTACCTCATAGCATTTGTAACTCCGGGAGTTACAAGAACTACCAACTGATGGCTTGTTCCTAGTTGTTTTAGGGAATTGGCCAAAACCAAAGCTCCTAACGAATAGGAATCGTTAGTCGCCAACGTAACCCACGCATAACCTGAAAAAAACAAAAAAAAATCATACTACCATGCGTTATGACCAAATGTTAAGCGAATTTTGAAAACGCCAAAAACATCCAAAATAGATTTATGACATCTGGGTAAAACTTTTCCTATGAAATTTCAGAAAATAGATTCTGCCAAGTAATGTTCGTGTAGTTTCCATCTGCTGCACCTACGGCATTCGCTAGTGGCTAAATATAAGCAACGAGAAAACTTAAATGGGCGTCAAAAATAAAGAGAATAACTCCACGCACGTTTATAACTATCTGCTCGTATTAATTCACGTGAAGATAACACAGTAGAGACCTTTCTTTAAAAATCTATTCTTATTTGCAAAACATACAATAACCGATTTCAACAGCCATGATGCAATATTTGCTGGTAAAAACTAACATAAATTCGATAAAACTGGCAATGCTTCCTTCGCTAAAAAATATTTTGGTATTGGAAGTGGAAGTAATAAAATTACAACTGTCGGCTTCTTCGTGTTTTGTTTTTCCGGTAGAATGATGGTTCTTTTTTATCCATTAAAAGAGGATCGACTTTTATAAACGGGTCAACTATCATCTCCACCGATTACCTACTCAAAGATTAAAGTGTAAAATAAATAAGTCACAAGTTCAGTACCCTACATCACATAATTAACGTATTTACCAAATAAAGACAGATCTAAAGTCACACGGCAAATTCATCAAAAGTTTACTTTGTCATCGGATTTATACATCGTCTTACGTTAAAGTTATGACGTCATCTATTTTTTAGAAATCGTATCTTTTCTTAAGTTTACAGTTTGTAATATAATGTTTACAGCAAAAATAATTAAGACTAAACCAGAGAAAAATGCAACTGAAAATAACTGATATATTTTTATGCTGCTTATCAGCATTTCATTTCAACATAAAACGCTTATAATTTTTCGGTTGTAGATTACAAAAAATAGCCACCATATAGAAAATTTTGGTCAATCTAAATGAAAACAAGGTTAAATATTCAGTTACTTATTTTTATTATATTATCAATGTAAATGGCATTGAATGTTAAACACATACGTCACTCGTATCTTGTTGAATTTTTGTTAAGGCCAATGATTATTATCAGTATTTGCAACACAAGATATTAGTAACAGCTCACTTCTTAGAACGTTATTTCTTTAGGTTTTTCATTCGTGAGGAAAATAGTGAAAAAATATTAGACTTGTTTTCTGCGTAACTTTTCCATATAAAGTAAACTTTAGAGGTAACTTTGTAAGCCACATCGAAATCTATGTTTGATAAAAAAAACCTCACAAACTGAAGAGACAGCATTCTGCTATTATAACATAACTTATAGTGTACTATCGACAATGATTACAAAGATGTCACATGAATGTCACTAAATGATGAATTCAAGTCTAATTTAATCTAAATTTACCGTATTTTTAAGAAGTTCACTTATCCCAACCTATTTCTGCATGTTTTAATGCTTTTTTAATTCAACAGAAACAACGAGGCTTTTATAAAATGACTAAAGAAATATTTGAAATATTTTCTTTTTATAGACTACTGACCGAAAATTGTGACAACATTAGATAAACTATTATGGTTTATCGTTAACCACATAACAGAGTAACAAAAATATTTATACAAAAACTTGCTTATCAACGAACGTAATAAGATAATGCAATAGTGACTGCAATTTTTAGTCACGAGAAACAGCACAAAATATCAATAAACAAATAATATATAGTTTTACGCGTTAAAGACATATTGTTACATTTTTTAGTCATCAATGAATAAATTATACTGAAAGAAATTTGGACTCTAAATACAAAGAATTCCAACTTTCGTTATCATTTTTACACAACTATTTTTTTTTCGCATTCATAAAGCATAAATTATTTTTAATACGTTAGGTTTACATGTCGACACTACACTAAAGTTTTAGTAACGTTGACAATGAAATATATTTTTACGATTTTCATTCTTGTTCATTTTTTAAGATCTATGCAACCTGTCAAAATACAAAATGGCACAAAAAAAAAACTTTAAACGTCGTGGGACAATTGAAAACTTTCCGATTCTACGATTAACTGCAAAATACCCGCAAGTGTGGGCATAATAATTAAATACTTGGGTACCACTTTGGACATTGATTAAAAATAATAACTGAGGGTGGATTGAGGGACTGAAGTGTTAACAATTATACCCATGAAAGTTCTGCACAAGTTTGAAATGTCATCACGACCCAAGTTTATAAACGGACCTTATACTTATTATTAGCTCAATAGCTACTTTGGGAGATTTGTGACTAATGGTAGCAAATAGCAAAGTAAAAGTATAAGTTTTCCGCCAAAAGAAACTTAAAATGTTTTGATGCTTTCGAAGAAAAACATACTCATACAAAAATAAAATGAGCATTTACACTCAAACTGTTTGTATAGTCGTACAGAAACCATTGATTTGAAACAAAAGTGGTGGATACTGAAAATATCATAAATGTGTAAGAGGGAAGTAAAAATTATCAAAAGAATTTTGAAGAATACACTGCCTACCAAATATTATTTTTTCGTTTTTACCACCTAACCGTCAGCACTTTTAACTCCAGACAGATACTATTGTTTTTGCATAAGAGAACGATTTGTTTATCCAAGTAATATATTTGTTTTCCTTCTATACTTTCATTTTTAAGATAAAGAAAACCACAAATCAATGCGATACATACGTTTCACTCGGCTTGTTAGAAGTAAAAATAGTAAAAAATTCCTGTATTTCAGAATAAATTAAATTCGATACTCCTTAGAAATTTCTTTTAATACATTTTTAAACACACAGAACATATATTTATGTAAACAGTTTCCTCTAACCCAGAAATACATTTTCAATGCGACACCTACATACTTTGACCAAAAAAGTGTATGGGATATAATGTTTCGGATGGTAGCCTACACAATGTTGCATTTTAATAATACATCACTAGAATTTGGAAAATTGCCAGACAAATTAAAGATTAGTACGAGGATACTATACCTAAAGTTGCCAATACAAATTTAGCAACAGAATTGGCCAATAATAACATGCTGGTGAAAACTTCCTGCAATAAATCAGATGTTTCATATTTTGATATCGTTTTCATAACTACGCACTTTTGAAAACAGTAGTGTATTTATTTTTACTTCCCGTGTGATAAACTAGAGGTATTGTAATGGGTCATTATAACACAAACCAACCAAATTTCATGTTCTCTTGATATTTCACGCCTTTTAACACGAATACATAAGTTTATCGTTACCGTCTGCATATATGTTGTACATTGATTAAAAACTGGTAACTCTAATATTCTATTTGTGTTTTCAATACCATTGAAATTGTTGCCGACGTCGCCTCAAAAAATTATTTAAACACAAAAAAAAAACATCCTGATGTGATGTTCTTTGATCTTTTGAGAAAAATTTAGTAATAGGTGTCGTAAAAAATTAACTCAAAGATATTTCGTCTAATTTGCTAGAAATTTGGTTCAAATTACTGGATGTACCAAGCTTTAGTTATGTATTTGCGATGTGAGATAAGTAATATATTGTAATAAAAACACGTCAAGTAGCATGGTAAAATCTCTGAATGTGGCAGTTGTTAAATTTTTTAGGGATTCGACTAATTTATAATACTGTTACCAATGTCCTACGTTGAACGTTTTAATTTAAAAATGGAAGTTCACCAGACCACAAGATACTGGTATTCGTAGAAATAAGTTACTTTAACCGATGTGGCATTCGCTTGGCGATAACAGATTTTTTTAAAGAAGTTTAAAATACACTGAACACAATAATTGTAAGTATATGTACGTGTGTTTTAAGTTATACAAGAATAGCCGCGCTTGAATAATAGGAACATGTGTTTCAATTCCCCCTGCAGCCGGAGTTACTCATACCAAAAACCTATTTTTGCGACAATTTGATCCAAAGGCGTATATTGCAGATATTTACTAATTAAATTTTATTAGGTACGTACGCGTTTATTAATAGCTTAACAAAACTTTTTTTAGCTGGAATAAGACAAAAACCTAACTCTTTTATCAGTATGTTAAATAGTAATAAATCCGTAACTAATTGATAGTTCTTAATTCGAAGCATATTTATCTAGATGCGGAGATGCCATCATAATTATTCCTGTTACTTTCTTTTGCCTTTGGTCTAGGTGTATATTTATAGGTTTTTTTTTTTTTTGGTACTATCAACCTAACCTAAAGGTCGATGGATTGGCAGAGACGAGAGATAACCACAAAAAAATGTAGAAAAATTACGTACCTCCCATGACTCCAACTGCACAAGATATGCAAAATTTATCTGGTCACTATCCAAGTTTAGCACTATTTATTCAACTACTGCCGAATGCCGGCAGCGAAATAATACGATACGAACGCCGCAGAGTGTCTAAAACCTTGAGCATGCTACGTCGCGTCGGCGAAAGCAATAATAACCAATCCTCAACGCCAGCGGCTCTATCCCTGAGAATTTTTAGCACCACAATACGATCAGTTAATCTGATAGTGCAAATCCACATGTAGTTTTTATACTTGTGGCGGTAGGTGATTATTCAATATTCATTCATTAATTAACCCACAAGCTAAATTTCCTATTTTTAACCATCAAACACTCCACCAAATTTCTGTAATAAAGTGATCAGAACGTTCAACCAATTTTTTTCCAAAAAAAGGCTGAGACTGTCAAACTTAGAAATATCGGCACCGGCTGTTGACAACACAGGTTGACAACGTTGCAATTTTTTGCACGTCGGCACGCGAACACTGACTGCGTCTGCGTTTCAGATAACGTTAATCACGTTTCAAAATTATTAACGTTAACGCCCGATTAAGAACAATGTTTAAACTTTATTATGCAATGATTAATCGATTAAATTCAATTCTCAGTCATTAAATATTTTTTTAATGAAGCATCTCTCCTACGTATTTTACAGTGGCGCCTCGTGACCTTTTGAAATGGGGGGACACAATTTGATTGATGAGTTAAATATGAAGATATAAAACAGGTTGTTATTACCAAGTAATAGACGAAATTGTGTGACGGAAATAAATACAAAAATACATTCAAGAAAAGTAAAAAGCGATTTGTCCACATACCCGTTCAAAATTTTACATTGATGGCATCTAAAAGTTCATTTTGGACAGTTTTAGACGTTCCTTTAAAAACCGTTGCTTCTTTCAAATGATCTGAAAATGCAGAGTCAAATTCACCCGTAAAATCCATCAGAACTCCAAACATACCTGGATCTTGTGGTTTCCTACTTTCGTCATGTCCAGATAAAGCAAGTTCAAACACTCCACAAAATTTTATGCATATTATCAATTGGCGTAATATATGGCGAGTTTTGTCGACCTTTGCATTAGGTGCCCGAATATTATTAATATAGGCCGTGTTTAGTTGTTTCCGAATGTCCGTATTACCGAGAAGGTTATCTAAGAATATTTATCATACCTGTTTTACGTCTATCTCGCGCAGCATGAAAATTAAAACCCGCGCTGTCAGAAGGAACCGCAGTTCCATTGAATGATATGACTAGGACGTGTGGTTTCCATGACAACGGTGTAAACAAAACGTTTAAATCAGCCATGATTCGAACTCAAACTCGGTTTTTATCAGCAATCCAAGACACACATCTTTAGATGTAAGTGGATGTAAGTTTTGATACATTTTATACAAGTGGAGCGAGATAAAAAATTAGTTTTGATAATCACGACACAAATTTCCGGATAATTTTTTAAATATTAAAAATTAAGTACTATTTTGCTATCTCCAGAGTGTTTGTAGACGTTGTAATTTTGGGGGGGCACGTCCTCTTGTGCCACCCGGCACCAGCCGCCCCTGGTATTTTATACGAACTTAATTTTGTAAACATTAAACATTCGCTTCGTTTCACTTTAGTCATATCCTGTTGTACAATTTTGATTTTTTTTTCCAAAAATCTAGACGTCTATGGCAAAAACTCAACAAGGATGGTGTAGATGGTAAAACGCTGACCAAAATTAGGAATATCGTTCGTAACATAAATATAAAATTAATTAAACTGTTGATACAGTATTTTCAGAGATTATCAGTAAAATAAAAAAAAATACCGACAGGCAGACAGGCAGACGACAACGACAGAAGAACGAAACACGATATCTATTTTTTCGTACAGGCGGCGTCATGAAGTGTCGATAAAACAAACATTCAGCTTACATTCGTGAACTGAAAATGAAATTTCCATAGTGAAATTGTACAACTAATGTTATACCCTGACCAGTGGACTTCTTTGAAATTTTAATAATGAGTAGGTACTGACTAGCCTTGTTTTAATATTTCCACACAGCAACTAACAGGAAGCAGAACATTAAGAGAATTCTATTTCTTAAAAAAAAATTGATGACGCGATCTCAAAAAAGAATACAGACATATCTCGAAATGCGGTTTTGTTTGAAAAATCATACGTGTCACACCCATGACAAGCAAATGATTTTTTTGTCACCAATCAATCAGTCAGCATGCTGTAACAGTTTTTATACAAATAATATGTTGCACTGTGACCTACAGTCTACCTGTTGTTTTCGCTTTTCAGTGTCAATTTGGAAAAAAAAAATCTTCGTTATTTTATCACACTCGTTGCATATGGAATTACCTAAAAGTTAGTGCATGTTTTAACTGACAGTTGTAGTGTAGAAGAAGCTGTTGCGACTTGAATAACTTTTAAAACTTTAACTTTTTAAAAGGCAGCTGTTTCGATTTCTGGGGTAATTTTTATTATAAATTATAATTTGTTTCTTTGCTTGAGATGTGTTTTATTTTCATGCTTCTTGTTTCAAAAATAAATCGTACACGAATTTTTACTTCCTGAGCGTAAGGTAATCGGGTCCATATTTTCTGGACGTTTCATGATCCCTAGGGTAAGAAAAAAGTGATCTCCCGTTTCCGTCTGTTATCTGTCTGTGTTCATGTCAATTTCTATTAGACAGATAATCTCCGAAATTACTGGACTGATTGTTGTAAAATTTTGCGTGTATATTAGGAATAGATGGTAAAACCCTAACCAAAATTTGGCTAATCATCCCCATTAATAATGTGATGACCGCACCTCAAAACTGTACATAGCAAATGAGTCTTAAAGTGTATAAAATAATATAGTTCTATACTTGTAGTTTATGAACCCGTGTTGAGTTTTTATCCACAACATTCAGATTTTTGAAAAAGAAGTCAAAATCATATCACAGTATTTTGCAATTTAATCTCCAAAACCTAATGTTTTGAAATCTTGCAGCTGTTTCAAAGTTATCATAAGCATGGTAAATTTTTAATCAAAATATATTTGCTTATTCCCCCCCAAAAATTGATGACGTCACCGTAAAATTTTGCCAAATGAATCCTGTTGAAAATATGTTGAGTCTTTACTTGTGACTTCCCATCATATCCATATTTTTTAAATATGTTTTTACAGGTGGCTCAAAAAATTAATGAAGAAGTCAATTTAGTTTAATGATTAAATCAGGAACGGCTCATTCCATTTTCCCGAAAATTTGGGAATAGAATACTATTATTATTATTATTATTACACTACATCAATTCAAGCTGACATACGTATCCTTACAAAAATGTTAATGACGGCATCACAAAATTTTGTAAAGTAAAAACTCATTTGAAATTCTTTTTTACATTTACTTTAATATTAAATACATGCATATGTTTACTTTAACTTATAAGGGTTTTCATAAAAAATAAATTCGCAAAATCAAATTTTATAATTTTTCAAAAATGCTTTCATTGTATAGGTGAACCAACACCCTTGTGCGGAGTCTGCCTCAGGCGTGTATGGATTTCCACTAATTTTTATGAGGGCTTAACCTGTGGCTTAACTAAAGACCCTTGTAAACTTGTCGCAGTCCAGCTCAGATGGCTGGGAGAGGGTTAGCTGAGACGGACCGTATTGAAAATTTTAGTGCCAGATAAGATTGGAGGACGATAATAGTGACGTTTAATTTTTAAGAATATGAGTGTTTATGTAATAGAATACTGAAATATTCTTTCGTTAGTTGTGCGAAAATGATAATAAAAATTTGGTAACTTTATTAATATAATGTAATATAATATCTAATGATAAGTGCGTGTTTTTTATGTTTGGATAATGATTGCACTGCACGTTAACACTTCTGTTAAATTCAAGTAGTTTACAACGGTGGGTGGTTAAGCCGTCGTAAAGATTTGTGGAAGTTAATAGACGCCTGAGGCAGCTTTGTGTACTTCAGGAGCGAGGGAAGTTCTGTCAAAGCAACCATCGACCTTCGACCAATTTTAAAAAGTTCGATTGAGTAATGCGAGTAATATGGAGGAAGACGTAAAACGGTGTGCACATTGTCTTTGGCCATTTCATTAAAAAAAAAATAATTAATTCTATCTCGACGTTGACTAATCACGTCTACATTTGGCGCTAAGTACGATCCTGTACAGAGTCTTCTTACTTGCCTGTCTTACGACTGTCAAGTTTATTGGCTTAGGAGTGGTTCACGGTGGTAGGGTTTAACTTGTTCGTTGACAAGTGGGAGATTGATGTGAAAATCGTAAAACCACTATTTTTCTAGATACCCTACACAACAGTTTGTAATAGTTACATATCGCATATGTTATGGACGTTATGGTAGATATTTATGGTATTGTTGTTTATGTGCTGAGCACGTGCTATGCACTCAAGGTCGTACACGTCACGTGATGCCGCAACCCTCCGGGCCAGTGGCGTTGACAAATTTTTATGTACAATTTTGCAGTACAAAAAGAAAAATATATGGATAAAGCAAGTTAATGTGTGTGTACCGTTTCTTTTGTCATACGATTGTAAGGGAAACTAATTGAAATTTTCATTACATTTATAACTTTTGGATAATATTTTGTGATCGTTCGGACGCCTCTGGTAGGGAACGGCGAATTCTTCGGTGTCGGTCTTTGGCCACACAAAAAACATGACAAAAACAATGTTATTAATTTAGTGTGTAGTTCTCCATTGGAAAAATAAAAATAAAAATAAAAATTGTGCAATTTACTTCTATCCATAGGCCAACCAATTTTTGTTATTTTTCTATACTTCTCTCAGTGTCGTCATCATTACTGCAAGTAAGCACATATTATTGTACTAATGTTGTCTGTTCTTGTCTGGTCTGCAGCACATGGCGACTATGACTTATGACATAATGTGATGTCTAGGTATTTAAAGTATGCGACTAGTTGTAAAGGTCTTTACTCATTAAATAAAGTGAAATTACCAACTTCCAACTTCTATAAGCAATTAGTGTGACACGCAGTTAACGTTGTTGAACATCAACAAAGTTTTTAGGTTAGGAGACGCACTGGGTCGCCGAAATGTCGCAAGTTAAAATTTATTTAGAAAACTATAGTGGTGTGTATTACCCTGGTTCTGAAATTCGAGGACGTTTGGAATGTTACTTTGATGATGAAGTTACCGTCCGAGGTAGGTTTACTAAAGTAACTAATATTTTTATACATGTGTGTTAATTCTAGGCATCAAGATTCGTGTAAAATGTAAAGAACATAACAGTTGGCATGGAACAGAATCCTACACTGATCCGAGTGATGATAAAACCAAAACAAGAACCATACATTTAACTGGTGACAATACTGTATTATTCATTGAACAAATGTTACATGGTTCAAGTATTTATAAATCACTTTTTTGTTACACAGTGTAAACCACTGCCTCCATTTCAGCCTCAGGAACTACAGAGTTGAGCAGAGGTCGACATGTATATCCATTTTCAGTTAATTTGTCTCATGATATTCCTTCTACTTTTAAAGGACCACATGGTCATATTTCATATAAGATTAAAGCAATTGTGGACAGACCAATGAGAACTGATTATGAAGATGAGTTTATTTTTATTGTCCAGGCACCAATCGACTTTAATCATATGTCCCGAGACCTCCAGGTATTGTATTAGTATAAATTATTGTTTTGAAATCAGTCTCCATTGGGATGATAACTTCATTCTGAATTTATGATTATGTTTTGGTGAGATGTCAATATTGTAGGTGGGGGAGGGTAAAGTGACAATTAGTTTATTGTGACATCAAAGTAAATAAGCTGTTTGTACTTGATATCCTACAAGAAGAACGTGTGAGTGTAACCATTACCTGCCCTAAAAATAGATATAAAATATTAAAAAAATGCTGCTATAATTTTAAAACATTATTTACTGGTTTGTATTTAATTAGAATTCTAACTTTATTTTATATCTACGCAAAATCTGTACCATGATGCCATTCATGCCACTAGGGATCACCAACGTTATAGTTGCAATCAGTCAATATTGATCTTGTCTTATCACTTGACATTACATATGACAGTCTTAAATTCCATTTTTGTTAATTTGCCAATCGTTCTGATAGCTACTATAAGTAAAATTTGGCAACTTGATTGTCAGTTTTCCTAGTAGTTGTAAACATTCAGTTATCAATATTACAACTGTCAGTTAGAAATACAAACTGATCCAAGATTTGAGTTCATTGTCTGAAATTAAATTGTTTTTGTGTTAGTTTCGTGATGATGATTTAGGAACATGACTATATAAAATCTACAACAGGTGGTAAAGTAAACTCGGAAAATTTATTACACATCAACGCGATCACACTTATCTACACTTCGAGATTTTGCTGTAACAGTTGAACTATAAGAGAACACTTTAAAATATAAGTATGTATAATTTTTTAGTAATATATTTACAAAAATGTGTCAATTTTATTGGAATTATTCATGTATTATGACTAAAGATAGGCGGAAATAAGTTTTTGACTACCACCATTAATTCACAGAACCGTGCAACCGAACCGAACATGTTGCTGTCTTTCAGACGCCTATGAAGTGCATGTAGTGGGGATTAATCCACGAGGTCTCACTTATTTCCGCTTAACAGTAATTATGATCTAACTATAAAGAGAAAAAGTACACCATTGAAATGTCATTTATATGAAAAAAAAAAAAAATGCGGGGAGTGAAATTCTTGTCATCGCTGTGTTCAATCGTTCGTTGATTTTATGTGACAGTCAGTTTTATGGCATTTTATAATTTCATCATTTAATTTGGTGACCACCTTATTATTGCGAGAGAAAATGATAAAATAATTTACTCCTTAATTGTATTAGATTGCTAAAACGAGTATGTATATATATATATACACCCTGTAACCCGTGTAAGGTATATGTATAAGTGTTCTTAGTGTTTTCGCAAATATGAATATATTTTGACTTGAGATATTGAAATTAATTCAAGTGAACTCCATTGTTTTAGCTTAGAGTGAAAAACTTAGGTTGGTGTATGCAATACATAAGATACATTTTTGGCACTTTGTATCAACACAGGTTTTTTTTAACAACACCTTTGTGGTATATTTTAAGGAAAATTAAATTTCGATATAATATATTAGTACCAGAGTCACAAAATTAGGTGTACAAATTAATGAAAATATATATCATGAAAAAAAGAAATTGGTACAACTTCAAAATTTGTAAATATTTAGTCTTAAACACCAAAAAAATTCGATATAATTCGTAATAACCGGTATGATAATAAAAGAAATTCCACATTTCGCGGTAAATGTATTTTGTACTTCATTTCAGAATGGCTTCAATTCTTGTGTCTGTAAATTTACCAACTCTTAATGTTTTCTAAAAAAAAAATACTTTTCTCGTTTAAACTTAAAAGTACTTACATAGTTTGGGTATATACATTAAATTTGTTCTTAATTTATATCTTGGATACAAACAGTTTGTGGTTCTGTTGTGTATGAATAATTTTAGGATGTCAGCACGTACTCGGATGAAAAAACGGTATGTTGCTGGTGTTGCAAAGGTGGTAACATAACAATGGAAGTAGAATTGCCGAAGACTGCTTTTGTACCAGGCGAAACTATTCCATTTAAAATAAGCATCTGTAATTTATCAAATTCGAACGTCGAAAAAGTGAAAGTAAAATTAGTCAAAACAACGACGTACAAAGTAACTAGTCCTAAACATGAATCAAAAACGGACGAGGAAAATCTTGTTTCATTCAGTGAGCATGGTGTTGGTGCCCATGGCGAATACACTTATAATCTCGAACTACAAATTCCTGGATACATAGATGTACCAAATTTTACAAAATGTGAATTATTCAAAGTTAGTTATGAGTTGGAAGTTTCTGCTGAGATGCCTTCTTGTACTATGGATTTGGATATTAATGCATGGGATATTAAGATAGGTCATATTCAGTGTGGTAATTACGGAACAGGTGATAGCGCCGTTAATTCTGCTGCTGCAGCATACCCTACTCCAGCGTATCCACCGGCACCTGGTGTCGTGTATCCACCAGCACCTGGTGGTGGCGTATATCCACCTTCGCCCAACGCTTACGTACATGGTGGGTTACCACCATATCCAACAAATGATTTTGATAAAAAACCAATCTCTCCTCTTGGTCCACCTTCCGCTCCTAGTTCCTCCATTGCCAGTGCACCAATGGAGGATAATCCTAAGGCACGAGAAGCAGCTAGTGGTGGAACTTCAGGAGTGGCCGGTTTCGTGTCAGAATTACGTAAGTAGGCAAACACATTATTTTTATTGGTACTGATTTGCCGTTAACTCACTTGTTTGGTATCGTTGATCTGATAATAATTTTAATACAACAACGTAAACATTATACGTTTTGTACTAATACTAAAATTGATTTCTATTTTACAAAGTGAGTATTAAGAAGTCTGTTCATTGTATACCTGCGATTGATTTAGAAATGTAGCATACACGATTTTTTTATCACTTGAAAGAGGTATTACAGTCATTCAAAATACAACAAATTTATCATCGTACAAAAAATATCGTACACCAAATGTGAGAAATGTATATAACACTCTATGCTCATTATTCATTCATGTACACATTTCTTTATGAGGAAATAATTCAATATAAATCACCTGCTGATTATGTTTTACACTATGTTGTTTTCACGTCGGAACAATTTAACATTACATTATTGTTTTCAGCACCTCCTTCGTACAGTCAAATACAGCAAAATCCTTCCGCCCCATATCCTCCACAGTGAAGATATTTAAAACGATATATTAATATATACAAATATTTGCATAAAAATAACTTGTATTTGAATATGAATTATTCTTATGCAATTATTGGCCATAACATTGTGGTATGTTATTTTGATCCACATGATTTTATATAGTAACAAACACTGATATACTTGGCACAACATTAGTTATGATTTAACACTTTTTATATATTATTCAAATTATTATTTACGGTTTATTAAAAAATTTGTAATTGTATGTAATGTAAGCCAGTTTTACACCTCGCATATGTTAAGCATTAGAAAATACAGTCTGTATTTTTGTATGTCTAAACTGTCAGTAGGTATACCTACTCTTAACTAGATATTGTTTTTTTTTTTTTATTACTACTACTAATATTCAATCATGTTGCTTTAGAAATATGTTTTTATTTCCCTGTAATATTGTTTATGCTATCGTATTTTGTTGTAATTGTCGATTATGAATGTACATTATAAAGGAGTTTTAGAATAATGAATAACTGTTCGTTGTTTTCACGACTGCTGCGTTACTGTTTTTAAAATTTTTACATTTTACAGCAGCGCATTATATTTCCGCTTAAGATAATTGTGTGAGAAGTGCACTTGCCTTTTTATAGATAAGAACTATTTTTGTTATTATTTTTAGTGTTTGCATGACATTTTGTACCAGGTGCCAACCAAACGGGATGTATTAAACAAATATTGACTAGTTTTTAACATTGTGTAAAATTACACAAACCTGCATTTTACATTGCCACTAATAATGACAGGTCATTCTGATAAATTTACAAAAGAGTTAAATGAGGTTTAGTTATCACCTGGTGACTGCCTGTGATAAAGGGTTGCCTCAAAATAATTTTGTCTTAGAATTATCTTCAACCTTATGATTTTTCTCATTTATACACACAGCACGGTGAATACTTAGAAACAACTAAAAGGGAAAACTGTCATTCAATTTTAATTACGAAATGATTTTAATCCAGTAGGGTGTAAACTTAAAAAGTGTATGTCTATAAAATTAATCTTAGTTTGATATGTTTCTGTTGTCAGATAAATATTTGTATTAATTTGAGGCTTGTTTATTCTGCATTGTTATAAGAGTTTCATTTTTATGTTATTGTATTTTATGATACCCAAAATTATGTAACGATAATATTAATAGCCACATTAAAAGTGTGGTTTGAATTTATATGCCATCTGATAATTGTTTTATATGAAAAGAATACATCACTTATTTATGGATAAGTATTTACATGTATTACGTAATATATTGTTTATGAAAGTGTCTTATCAAACGCTCTTAATTAAAGAAGTTATAGTTTTGCATGCCAGAGTTTTATATGCCGGTTTTTACACGAATAAAATTTAAAAATGCTTTTATTTTTACTTACATTGCCTTTAACCATGCTGAAAAATAGAAAAACACAAATCACTTCAATTACAAATGTGTTGCTTTAAGCACGGTAAATCACTATTCAAATTAAAAGTAGACATCTCGTCGACATCATATTAAAGTAGCGAATCTGGATTTCTCTTCTTTTCACGACAACAGTTTAAAACTCAATTTAGATAAGAAATTAAGTGATTTTTCAAAATTTAAGCCTGAAAGTGCCCTATTTTCATTTTCACTTCCCGAGCCAAAGTTAAGGAAGTATTGTAATCGACTCCGTCAGGCGATTTGTTGCTTTTATGTTGTCCCAATGTTTCACGACTTCTAGAGTATAAAAAAAAAGTTGTCTCCAGTTACCGTCTGTCTGTCGACTGTGTCGGATTTTTTTAGACAGGTATTCTCCGAGACTACGGGACCGATTGTTGTCAAATTTTGTATAGTTTACGAAATATAGTTGTAGCAGGTAATTGTACTCGTAAAATGCTCATTTTCGTTCGTGAATAACGATGGTCCTTGTTCGGATCTGAATTATTCTGCTTTCTAACATGTGCGGATTACCGCCACGCGACAGCTTTAAGTTGTAAATATTTCTTGCTATTGTACTACTGTCCGCCTCGTTATTGTCAATAAAATTTTATAGGGTACAACGATATTTCGTAAACTATATGTATATTATTATAGGAATATCATGTAGATGGTCAAATACATGGTAGAAGCAGTGATGAACGAAATACTAATAACGTGTTGTGTTTAGGTTTTGTTAAATCAATTTAAATCAGTCAGTAACAAAACCAACAATTCGCACACCCAACTTAAATATGCAATCCTACTACCACAATATAACCTCAATCAACATAACAGCATTTTCGCATCTGACAGTTCAATCAGGGAAGTTCAATAACATAGCCTCACAACCGATATTTAAATTTACCACGCAAAATATATTGCGCGGGATACCTGCGTAAGGCAAAATTGACTCCATGAAGGTTGCGGAGTGGGATATCACGTTCATCACTGGTATAGGCATACGCATCGGGTGTGACGTCAGTGGGGTGAAATTAGCGCGAAATTTAAAACACATTATTTAAATTGCAAAAATTTATTTATGATTATTCAATTGTTGCAGTCGTACTTATGTGTGATGTGATCGCAGAATTTAGGTTTGTGGAGAGAACTGAGCATAAATATGTCAAAAACCTCTTTTCAACACTCAAGAGATAAGAGCAAATTGGTATTTGCATTTGCTGATGTCCCACATTTATCGAAATTGATACGAAACCACATTTTTGGACCGTTCAACTTTCAATAATTACATTTTTATCATTATTAATTTCATTAACTTTCATTAGTCGACAACTAATTGACGTATTGGACAGAGCTATGACAACTCAATCTGAAATTCCCCAGCGAAGCTCACAAGAGTCACAAGGTCGTTGATGCCACCTAACGTCACAAATGGATGCGCAGATGATTTTTAAATTTGTACATCGGATGCCTATACCAGAGAACATACCTATACCATGTCTCCTTCTACCATGATCGAGACTGCGGCGGGGCTCTTGTCCGAGAAGTTGCTCTTTCCACTCACTGGTTGGTCCATTTATTACGTACGCATTGTTTGGGACAAAATGGAATCCATAAAATAATTTGGCTCATTCATTAAATTTTTTAAGTGACCCTGTATAAGAAATTCTAAAAATATGAATGGAATGATAAATCATAAATCACAAGTATAGACTCACCATATTTTGTTCATTTTCGGTAAGATGTATTAGGAAAAATTTTGTAACGAAGTCATCCATTTTTTTGGGGAAATAAACAGATCTATTTTGATTAAAATTTAACGTGTTTACGATAACTTTAAAACGGCTGTAAAATTTCAAAACATTCATTTACAGATTCAAAATTATAGTATTGCAAAATGTTGTTATACGATTATGATTTTTTTCCCAAAAATCTGGATGCCTTGGGTAAAAACTCAACACGTATTCATAAACTACACGTGTAGGTGTATGTTATTCTATACAATTTAAAACGGATTTACTATGTATAATTTTGAGTTGACGTCATCACACTGTTGGTGGGGTCAATTAGACAAAGTTTAGTTAGCGTTTTACCATCTAAATTAATGAATGGGCCAATTTTTTGTATCTATTAAATCAAGAACGACTCACTCCATTTTCCGTAAATTTGGGGATATATTCTGTTATTATTAGTATTACACTGGACCTATCCGAATTGATATACGTATCTCGGCAGAAATGTTGACGTTATTACAAAATTTTGTAATGGAAAAACTTCTTTATCTTTACTTTAACATTACATACATATTTTTATTTTAGCTTATAAGGGTTATTATAAAAACATTAAATTCGCAAAATTAAATTTTATAATTTTTCGAAAAATCTGAATTTATTATAATGTACTTCACGGGCGAGGGATGTTCTGTGGAAATAACCTTCGACCAATTTTTTTATGGAAATATGAATTACATTTCAGAGGATAGAGTTTAAATATTTTTACCCCTGGACATTTGAATGAGTTCTGATAAACCGTTCTGGAAATTTTGTCTTAGTGATTTGGTGTTAACTTTCACAAGAGTACAACGGTTTCTTTTATCTCAGCATTTACATGTAACCATATTTTATACTACATATTGTATACTACTTGCCTTTAAGTATTTAAAAGCTTTCTAACTGTAGGGTTACTGTTTTGTTCGTTATTACTGATAAGATGACAAATGAAAATACTTTTTGTATATTCTATTCCAATTGAGCTTCTACTAATTTTTTACATTTAATAAAATGTATACAAATTTCATATAGAACTGAGTGTATTCACAAATGAGAAATAAATTAAACAGGACTCACCACAAAATTTTAACGCAGGAACAAGGATAATGCGTAGGTTTACGCAGAGCCCCCATAAAATGAACTCTAAAACTGAAATAAATCGTTTTCAAGTGTTATTGCAAATTTAGTTAATGGTTGCAGGTTCAATTCATTATCTACAACAGGTGCTTATATTTTTAAGGGGAGCGTTATTAAAAACTTATATTTGAATTCCTTTCATCATTATTTTATTACTATGTACTTATATCAAAAATGATTCTAACAAGTATCATTAAAAAAAAAGGATCCGCAAACGTTTGCGCGCTTGTGTTGTTTTTTAATAATGCCTGGTACGGGTGAAAAATTGACTAAGCCGCATGCATTACCATATTGAGTGTTCTAGGGCTGTAATACAACGATAACGACGTCGGCGTCGGCATCAAAGCACCGACGTCTAAGTGCTGCCCTCTCGACGAATATACAAAGGAATTCAAACTTTCTCAAGCGAATGTCAAAATTCAATTCATATCGCTGCATAAATTGAACGAGTTATTAGACTCTTGACTTTATCAGAGGTGAAATAGACAGGTTAAAATCTTCAGAAAGAGATGACAAACGGTAGTACAGGACAGACCATAAAATTAATCATTTAATTTATTCTAAAAAACTCTTGGCATATTCCTAGAAAGATTTTAGCGAACTTATTAATTAGAGCAATTGGTCGATAATGTTCTATAGCATTACGATCGGCTTTCGCATCGGAACAGTTTTAGAAATCTTCCAAGACTTCGGAATTACACCATTCGTTAAGATTTTGTTACACAAGATAAACAGCGGCTTTACCAACGTGGGACAACAGTCTTTTAAGAAAATAGAAGGCATTCTGTGTGGACCAGCGGTATTTTTACGTTTTAATTTATCCAAAGCTGTAATGATTTCGTTTTCTGTTGAAATTTGAAGGTGGATTGAAAACAGGTTGAAAAAATGTTGCAAAACCATCAGCAATATTTTTGGACCTGGTACCAGACATTTATTATAGGTCATTGTGGGCGGGATGTTACTACTGCCTTTTTTTAAATTCACGTATCTCCAAAATCCCTTAAGATTATTAACCATATCTCTTTGCGTTAAAAATTTTGTATTCACAGTTAATACCTATTCATTGGCCTAAAAGTACGGAACATTAGAATGAGGTTTTCTCGTTAGCGTCTGAAATGGAGTGTAGGCTAGGAGTTCTTCATACAAATGCATATTCCAAGTGATTTGAAAATTTGTTTGTTTACATTTTCTGAGATATGGGAAATATCAAAACAATGTTGAGAATAGTTTTGTTTTGGGAATAAATCAACCATCAGTGAGTGGGTGCTTGTCACATATTATTGTTAATTAGGTACTATAAAATCATTGGATCACTTTTCCGTGGGTTGCACAAGATATTTAGAGAAATAAAAAAATAGAAGTAATTCATTATACTCATGTTGCCACGTTGCCCCGCCACGTGAGTACCTACTCTGTACATCTAGCAACTCCATTTCACAACAAAAAAAGATACTATAGCATCAATATACTATAAATTGCTATTAGTGATGCTTCACTAAGTATCATCATTCATCAGTACTAATGCCAGATATTCCAGATCGTCAACGCACATTTACGTAGATAGTTTTTGAATGATAACTTGAACTTTCACCTCAAAAGAGACGATGGATATCCATTACTTTCCTAGTTAATGGTACAGTATCCTGAAATTTACAATAACAATTCAGCAGAGGGACAATACAATTTACATCTAACAAGAGAACGCTTAACAACTGAACGTGTTAACAGAATGTTAAAAGGAAGATATCAATGTTTACTTAAACACAGAACTTTACACTATAATCAAATTAAGGCGACTAAAATAATATATTTATGCGTTATGTTGCATAATATTGCCAAAATATTTTAAAGTAGACAAGCCAGATGACGTTGACGAAATAGAAAATATGGAGGATCCGCTACCGAACCAAAATATCCCAGCAAATAATTTCTTTTTGCAAGGGTCTAGAAAACGAGATAGAATAAGGAACACCTTTTTCGTAAACAATTTATTAATCTTTATTG